ATTCAAACGTATCTAGATTCTAGAATCTCTAGAAACCATTGAGGTTCTAGAAATTCAAGAGATTTTATATTCTAGAAATCCTACAGATTCTCAAATTTTTGAATATTTAGAAATCTGAAGATCCCAAAAATTCTGAAAGCTACAAAGATTGCAAAGGTTCCAGAAATTCCACAAATTCCTAAAATTTCGAAACTAGCGATTCTAGAAACTGAATATTCTGAAGATTTTGAATAATCTATATATTCTATAGATTTGAGAAATTCTAACGTGTCTGGATTCAAAGTAATCTGCAGCTTCTAGAGATTCTGAAAATCCAAAAAATACTGAAGACTTTAAAGATTCCTAGGATTCCACAAATTCCTAAAATTCCGTCACTAGAGATATTGAATATAATTCTAACGTATCTAGATTCTACGTAATCTACCGTTTCTAGAGATTCTGAAAATTCAAAAAATTCTGAAGACTTTGAAGATTCGCAGGATTATTAATATTTTAGAGATTTCAAGATTTCATAGATTCCAGAAATTCCACAAATTCCAAAAATTCCGAAAATTCCGAGACCAGGATTCTAGAATCTCTAAATATTCTGAAGATTTTGAATATTCTATAAATTTTACAGATTTTAGAAATTCTAACGACTAGATTCCAAGTAAAATACAGATTCTGGAGAACATACAGTTTGAGATTCTATCGATTCAAGGTTTTGGATTCTAAAAATACTACAGATTCTGAAGTTTCTGAATGTTTGAAGAATTCTCCAGAATTCAGAACATTACAAAGATTTCGAAGGGTCAAAGATTCCAGAAATTTCAAAGATTTCGGATATTCGGAGACTAGAAATCCAACGATTCTAAAGATTTTGAATATTTCGAAGACCAAAGATCACACAAATTCTGAAGAACTTGAAGATTCCAAAAATTTAAAAAATTGCGGATATCTGAAACTCTAAAGATTCCAGAGAGTCGAATACTTGAGATTCCAAAAATTATGAAAACTAAAGAATTCCAAAATTATAAATTTTATAGGGACTCCCAAGGTTCCAGAAATTCCGACACTAATGATTCCAAATATTTTAACGAATACGAAGATTCTGAACATTATAGAGACTCCAAAGAAATTCCGAGACTAGATATTACAAAGATTCTAAAGAATATGAAAATTCTGAGTGTTTCGAAGCCTGAAGATCCCAAACATTCTGAAGATTATAAAGATCTAAAGATTTCAGTTATTCCAGAAATCTTAGATTCTTCATAGCCAAGAGATTCCAGAGATTCTAATAATTTTGAAGACTGACTTCCAAAAATTTTGAAGATTATAAAGATTGGAAAGAATTCAAAAGATTCAGAAATTTCAGCAATCTCAAAGATTCTGTATATTCCGAGACTCGAGGGATTTCAATAATTTTAAAAAATATGAAGATTTTGAATATTTCCAAGGCTGAAGATCCTAAAAATTTTGAAGGCTGAAGATTTCCAAGATTATAAATATTCTAACGATTTCAAAGATTCCACAAATTCCGGAAATTTCGAAGCTAAAGATTCCAGAAGCAATAAATCTTCTGCAGATTTTGAATAGTCTATGTATTTGTACAAATTTTAGAGATCCAAACAAATCTTGATTCTAAATAATCTACAGATTCTAGAGACCCCAGAGCGTCTTAAGATCCTACCGGTTCTACAGACTTTGAAGTTTCTGAATATTTCGAAAACTGAAGGTCTCAAAAATTCCTAGAATTATATGTATTTAGCTTTCAAAGATTCCAGAGATTCTACAAATTCCTAAAATTCCGGAACTTTCGAGACTAGAAATTCCAGAAACTTAGATATTCTGAAGATTTTGAATTTTCTAGTAGGTTTTAGAAGTTCAAACGAATTCTAGCGATTCTAGAATCTCTAGAAACCATTGAGGTTCTAGGAATTTAAGAGATTTTAGATTCTAGAAATTCTACAGATTTTGAAATTTTTGAATATTTGGAAATCTGAAGATCCCAAAATTTCTGAAGGCTACAAAGATTTCAAAGCTTCCAGAAATTCCACAAATTCTTAAAATTTCTAGACTATAGAGATTCTAGAAACTTTTGAATATTCTGAAGATTTTCAATATTCAATATATTTTACAGATTTTAGAGATTCTAGAGACCATAAACTTGAGATTCTAGCGGTTTTAGATTCTAAAAATCCTACAGATTCTGAGGCTTCTGAATATTTAGAAAACTGAAGGTCCCAAAAATGTTTGAAGAATTCTCCAGAATTCTGAACTTTACAAAGATTTCGAAGGGTCAAAGATTCCAGAAATTTCAAAGATTTCGGATATTCGGAGACTAGAAATCCAACGATTCTAAAGATTTTGAATATTTCGAAGACCAAAGATTACAAAACCTCTGAAGAATTTGAAGATTCCACAAATTTCAAAAATTCCGGACATTCTGAAACTCTAAAGATTCCAGAGATTCGAAGACTGGAGATTCCAAAAATTATGAAAACTAAAGAATTCGGAAATTCTAAATTTTATAGGGATTCCCAAGGTTCTAGAAATTCCAAAGATTTCGGAAACTCCCACACTAATAATTCCAAATATTTTAACGAATACGAAGATTCTGAACATTACAGAGACTTCAAAGATATTCCGAGACTAGATATTCCAAAGAATATGAAAATTCTGAGTGTTTCGAAGCCTGAAGATCCCAAAAATTCTGAAGATTATAGAGATCTAAAGATTTCAGTTATTCCAGAAATCCTAGATTCTTCAAAGCCAAGAGATTGCGGAGATTCTAGAGAGTTCGAAGACTGTATATTCCAAAAATTTTGAAGATTATGAAGATTCCAGAGAATTCAAAAGATTCAAAAACTTCAGCAATCTCAAAGATTCTGAATACTCGTATTCCCAGACTCGAGAGATTTCAATGATTTTAAAGAATATGAAGATTTTGAATATTTCCAAGGCTTAAAATCCTAAAAATTCTGAAAACTGAAGATTCCCTGAATTATAAATATTCTAACGATTTCAAAGATTCCACAAATTCCGGAAATTTCAAAGCTAAAGATTCCAGAAGCAATAAATCTTCTGCAGATTTTGAATATTCAATGTAAGTATTCTACAAATTTTAGAGATTCTAACAAATCAAGACTCTAAATAATCTACACATTCTAGAGACCACAGAGTGTCTGGAGATTCTATCGGTTCTACAGATTTTGAAGTTTCTGAATATTTCGAAAACTGAAGGTCTCAAAAATTTCCAGGATTATATATATTCTAAAGCTTTCCAGAGATTCTAGAATTTCCTAAAATTCCTCAAATTTCGAGACTAGATATTCCAGAAACTAAACATTCTGAAGAATTTGAATTTTCTACATATTCTGTTGGTTTTAGAAGTTCAAAGTGCGGATATTCTGAAACTCTAAAGATTCCAGAGATTCGAAGACTGGAGATTCCAAAATTATGAAAACTAAAGAATTCGAAAATTCTAAATTTTATAGGGATTCTCAAGGTTCCAGAAATTCCAAAGATTTCGGAAATTCCCACACTAATGATTCCAAATATTATAGAGACTCCAAAGAAATTCCGAGACTAGATATTCCAAAGATTCTAAAGAATATGAAAATTCTGATGTTTTCGAAGCCTGAAGATCCCAAACATTCTGAAGATTATAAAGATTGGAAAGAATTCAATAAATATTCTGAAGATTTTGGCTACAAAGATTTCAAAGCTTCCAGAAATTCAACAAATTCCTAAAATTCCGAGACTAGAGATTCTAGAAACTCTGAAATATTCCGAAGATTTTGAATATTCTATATATTCTCTAGATTTTAAAAATTCTAAAGTTTCTGAGTTCTAAGAAGTCTACAGCTTCTAGAGATTCTGAAAATACAAAAAATTCTGAAGACTGAAGATTTGCAGGATTATTAATATTTTAAAGATTTCATAGATTCCAGAAATTCCGAAACTAGATGTTCTAGAATCTCTAAATATTCTGAAGATTTTGAATATTCTATACATTTTACAGATTTTAGAGATTCTGAAGACCATAGAGCTTGAGATTCTAGCGATTCGAGAGGTTTTAGATTCTAAAGATCCTACAGATTCTGAAGTTTCTAAATATTAGAATTCGAAAATTCTGAGTATTTCGAAACCTGAAGATCCCAAAAATTACAATGATCTAAAGTTTTCAGTTATTCCAGAAATCCTAAATATTCTTCAAAGCCAAGAGATTCTAGAGATTCTGAAGATTTCGAAAACTGAATATTCCAAAAATTTTGACGATTTTGAAGACATCGAAGATTCCAAAGGTTTCAGAAATTTCTAACGATTTCAAAGATTCCACAAATTCCGGAAATTTCGAAGCTAAAGATTCCAGAAGCAATAAATATTCTGCGGACTTTTAATATTCTAGGTATTCTACAAATTTTAGAGATTCTAAATAATAATCTACGGATTCTAGAGACCACAGAGCGTCGTGAGATTCTAGCGATTCTACAAATTTTGAAGTTTCTGAATATTTCGAAAACTGAAGGTCTCAAAAATTCTAAAACTTTCAAAGATTATACAAATTCCTAAAATTCCGGAACTTTCGACACTGATACTCCAGAAACTCTAATAAATATTCTGCAGATTTTTAATTTTCTATATATTCTGTAGGTTTTAGAAGTTCTAACGAATCTAGATTCTAGGGATCCCACAGATTCTGAAATTTTTGAATACGTATTTGGAAATATGAAGATCCCAAAAATTCTGAAGCCTACAAAGATTTCAAAGATTCCAGAAATTCCAAAAATTCCAAGACTACAGATTCTAGAAACTGTAAATATTCTTAAGATTTTGATTCTTCATATGTATGTATACGTGTTTATCTTAAAAATTTTTGAGAAATTTTGGTAGGGTACTATAATTAATTTAGAGGCCACAGAACAATGATTAAAACTTCTTTATTCATCCCTTGTAGTAAGTTATATACATTATTTTGTTTCGCCTTAGATGGACATTGGACAATAGTCACATTAATACTATCTAGCCTCCAAATGGACCTTTACATGCCTTTTTAAATCATTTTTTGCTTTACTTTTATATGAACAATTCCCACATTCATACCACTTAACTTCTTCTGCACCAGTATGTCGAAAAATCATATGACTTTTCAAATGGGACGCCTGTTTAGCTTTGTATGGGCACCTTTCACACTTGTATCTATTAATTTTTTCTTCATCTAAATGTTTTGCAATCATGTGTGGCTTCATAGACGATTTATACTTAGCTTTATAATCACACTCATTGCATTTGTACCATTTAACGTCGTCGTCATTCAAGTGTAAAGCAATTGTGTGCTTAGTTAAACTAGCTTTGAATTTGGTCTTGAAGGGACACTTTTCACACTGAAACCACTCAACACATTGTTCATCCACGTGGATTTGTTGTATGTGCTTTCTCAAATTTCCATCATATTTACTTTTAAATGGACACTTGTCACATGCCCATCGCCTGTTTAAATCGTGTTTCCTCATATGGCGGCTTACAATACTTTTGCGTTTAGCTTTGTAGGCACATTGCGCACAGTAATACCAGAGTATGTTGCCAATTTGCTTGAAATCGAAACTATATGTGGTATTCTGTTTTCGGGGAGTCACACGTTTTTTATTCCGTCTACACGCTGAAGCATGCTGAAGCCACTTTAATGAGAGATTTGTTTCAAAGTCGCATTTTTTGCACCTGTAGTTTTTTATGCGGAAGTCTTCGTTTCTGGATTCACTTTTAATGCCATGGTATTTAGCAATGTGTTGTTTGAACAAGAGGGTTAGTTGAGTCTTAAAATTGCAGTCTTTACAGTAATAAACTTCGATTTCGGAGTTGGCACACGTGAATTTTTCCAAAAATGAACGGTGTCGTCTCACGTGGTTCGTCATAAGAAAAAGTGATGTGGTAAAATAGGGGCATTGTTTACAGTTGTCCACGTTTTTCCATGAAGACGTCCCACGTGTTGCGATTGAGGCACAGTATTCCAAAGTTGACATTGTGCCCCCCTAAAACGGTCCGGAGAGGTTAGGGCGTATTTAATTTAAAATCATCATAAATAGGTTAAAACTGAAAACCATAGAATAGCTAATTATCACTGGAAACGACAGAAACACAGAACATTACCATGCTTAGTTTCCAGACAAGTGCAACTTTGACAACCAGTGTTGCCTGATTTTGCAAGCGAGATTAGGGGATTTTGGTAGGCAACCAATAAAATTATAGAAACTAAAATTTTATACAGGATGTTGATTCTACCTGTTCACGCCTGACAATTTTTGCATAGGCAACATATTGTACACTCCAGAGACGACTTCGCCCAATAATGACAAAATTGAAACAATTAATACTCAATTTATTAATGGATCAGATTCCAACGAAAACGAATTTATATTAAATGTTCAAAAATAATTGCAAATTCGATATTTCCCTATACAAATTTTCCATTTTAAACATGTTTTAAGTTTCATGTTGTGAAAAGAAGTCTACATATTATATTAAAACAAAAAGAAAAAATGTAGGCCCGCCCACCCGCCCTGTCTCAATTGTGATGATTTTTTTATTCGCCGTGAACCAAAGGGGCGGAGCTTAAAATGTAAAATACTTATTTCTTTACGAGAAATTAAAAACTTGTTTTTGAATATCGGGTTGTTCAAGGAATACTATGTATATTAAGAAAAAAAATCCAAAAAATAAACCCCGCCCACCCGCCCTATCTCAATTGTGATGAAATTCTGGATATTCTGAGACTCTTTCCAGAGATTCTTAAGATTTCGAAGAATAAAAATTCCAAAAAGAAGAGATTCCAGAGATTCCAAATATTTTGGATATTCCGAAAATCTAGTTAATTCAGAGATTCTAAAGATTCTGAATATTTCGAAGATTATAAAGATTATCATCAGTTATTTCCGAAATCCTAAGCATTCGGGATATTCCGAGACAAGAAAATACTAAAACTTTTGAAGATTTCGAAGACTGAATATTCCAAAAATTTTGAAGATTTTGAAAACATTGAAAATATTGAAGATCATAAAGATTTCAAAAGATTCCCAAGGGGTCAGAAATTTCGGTAATCCCAAAGATTCTGGATATTCCGAGACTCGAGAGATTTCAATATCTTAAAAAATATGAAAATTTTTAATATTCTATATATTCTACATATTTTAGAGATCCTAACGAATTTAGAGTCTAAATAATCTACAAATTCTAGAGACCTTTCTAGATATCCAACAGATTTTGAAGTTTCTAAATATTTCGATAACTGAAGGTTCCAAAAGTTCTGAAAATTCCAAAGATTTGGAATATTGGCAAACTGAATATTGCCAAAAATTCTGAAGACTTTAAAGATTCCTAGGATTCCACAAATTGCTAAAATTAAAAAAAAAAATCCGTGGCTAGAGATTCTAGTAGATTTTGAATATTCTTTATATTCTATAAATTTTAGAAATTCTAACGAATCTAGATTCGAAGTAATCTCCCGCTTCTAGAGATTCTAAAAAGCCAATAAATTTTGGAGACTTTGAAGATTCGCAGGATTATTAATATTTTACAGACTTCATAGGGTTCCAGAAATTCTACAAATTCCAAAAATTCCGAAAATTCCGAGACCAGAGATTCTAGAAACTCTAAATATTCTGAAGATTTTGAATATTCTATACATTTTACAGATTTTAGAGATTCTAACGACTAGATTCCAGGTAATATACAGATTCTAGAGACCATATAGTTTGAGATTCTAACGATTCGAGAGGTTTTGGATTCTAAAAATCCTACAGATTCTGAAGTTTCTGATTATTTCGAAATCTGAAGGTTCCAAAAATTTTTGAAGAATTCTTTAGAATTCTGAAGATTACAAAGATTTCGAAGGGTCAAAGATTTCAGAAATTTGAAAGATTTCGGATATTCAGAAACTAGAAATCCAAAGATTCCAAAGATTTTGAATATTTCGAAGACCAAAGATCACAAAAACTCTGAAGAATTTGAAGATTACACAAATTTCAAAAATACCGGATATTCTGAGACTCTAAAGATTCCAGAGATTCGGAGACTGGAGATTCCAAAAATTATGCAAACTAAAGAATTCGGAAAATCCCACACTAATGATTCCAGAGATTTTAACGAATACGAAAATTCTGAGACTCCAAAGATATTCCGAAACTAGATATTCCAAAGATTCTAAAGAATATGAAAATTCTGAGTATTTCGAAGCCTGAAAATCCTGAAAATTATGAAGATTATAAAAATCTAAAGATTTCAGTTATTCCAGAAATCCTAAAGACTCTTCAAAGCCAAGAGATTTCAGATATTCTGAAGATTTCGAAGACTGAATATTAAAATTTTTTTGAAGATTTTGAAGATATCGAAGATTTTGAAGATTATAAAGATTCCAAAGGTTTCAGAAATTTCAGTAATCTCAAACATTCTGGATATTCCAAGACTCGAGAGATATCAATGATTTTAAACAATATGAAGATTTTTAATATTTTCAAAGCTGAAAATTCTAAAAATTCTGAAGGCTGAAGATTCCTAGGATTATAAATATTCTAACGATTTCAAAAATTCCAGAGATTAAACAAATCCCGGAAATTTCGAAGCTAAAGATTCCAGAAATACTAAATATTTTGAAGATTCTAAAGAATATGAATATTTCGAAGACTAAAAATTCTGAAGATTATAATGATCTAATAAAGATTTCAGTTATTTCAGAAATCCTAAGCATTCTGGATATTCAAAGACAAGAAAATACTAAAAATGTTGAAGATTTCGAAGTCTGAATATTCCAAAAATTTTGAAGATTTCGAAGGCATCGAAGATTTTGAATATTATAAAGATTTTGAAGATTATAAAGATTTCAAAAGATTCTAAAGGTTTCAGAAATTTTGGTAATCCCAAAGATTCTGGATATTCCGAGACTCGAGAGATTTGAATGATTTTAAAGTATATGAAAATTTTGAATATTCTATATATTCTACATATTTTAGAGATTCCCACCACAGAGCGTTTCGAGATTCTAGATATCCAACAGATTTTGAAGTTTCTAAATATTTCAAAAGCTGAAAGTTCCAAAAGTTCTGAAAATTCCAAAGATTTCAGAGTTTTTAGGAATTCCAAAGATTTGGAATATTCGCAAACTGAATATTCCCAAAAATTCTGAAGACTTAAAAGATTCCTAGGATTCCACAAATTCCTAAATTCCGGAAATTCCGTAACTAGAGATTCTAGTAGATTTTTAATATTCTATATATTCTATAGATTTTAGAAATTCTAACGTATCTATATTCTAAGTTATCTACCGCTTCTAGAGATTCTGAAAATCCCAAAAATTCTGAAGACTTTGAAGATTCTAAAAATCCTACAGATTCTGAAGTTTCTGAATATTTGGAAAACTGAAGGTCCCAAAAATTTTTGAAGAATTCTTCAGAATTCTGAAGATTACAAAGATTTCGAAGGGTCAGATTCCAGAAATTTCATAGATTTCTGATATTCAGAGACTAGAAATCCAAAGATTCCAAAGATTTTGAATATTTCGAAGACCAAAGATCACAAAAACTCTGAAGAATTTGAAGATTCCACAAATTTCAAAAATACCGGATATTCTGAGACTCTAAAGATTCCAGAGATTCGAAGACTGAAGATTCCAAAAAGTATGAAAACTGCAAAATTCGGAAAATCCCACACTAATGATTCCAGAGATTTTAACGAATTCTAGAGACCATAGAGTTTGAGATTCTAGCGATTCGAGAGGTTTTGGATTTTAAAAATCCTACAGATTCTGAAGTTTCTGAATATTTGGTAAACTCAAGGTCCTAAAAATTTTTGAAAAATTCTTCAGAATTCTGAAGATTTCAAAGATTTCGAAGGGTCAAAGATTCCAGAAATTTCAAAGATTTCGGATATCCAGAGACTAAAATTCCGAAGATTCCAAAGATTTTGAATATTTCGAAGACCAAAGATCACAAAAACCCTGAAGAATTTGAAGATCCCACAAATTTCAAAAATACAGGATATTCTGAGATTCTAAAGATTCCAGAGATTCTAAGACTGGAGATTCCAAAAATTATGAAAACTAAAGAATTCGGAAAATCCCAAACTAATGATTCCAGAAATTTTAACGAATACGAAGATTCTGAGACTCCAAAGATATTCCGAGACTAGATATTCCAAAGATTCTAAAGAATATGAAAATTCTGCGTATTTCGAAGACTGAACATTCCAAAAATTCTCAAGATTATAAAGATTTCAGGGATTCCAAATATTTCCGAGAGTCTAGATAAGCCAGAGATTATAAAGATTCTGAATATTTCGAAGACTGAAAATTCTAAAAATTCTGAAGATTATAAAGATTTAAAGATATCAGTTATTTCAGAAATCCTAAACATTCTGGATATTCAAAGACAAGAAAATCCTAAAAATTCTGAAGATTTTAAAGAATATGAAAATTTTGAATATTCTATATACTCTACATATTTTAGAGATTCTCACGAACCTAGAGTCTAAATAATCTACAAATTATATAGACCACAGAGCGCTTCGAGATTCTAGATGTCCAACAGATTTGGAAGTTTCTAAATATTTCGAAAACTGAAGGTTCCAAAAGTTCTGAAAATTCTAAAGATTTTAGAGTTTTTAGAAATTCCAAAAGTTTGGAATATTCGCAAACTTAATATTCCCAAAAATTCTAAAGACTTTAAAGATGCCTCGGATTTCACAAATTCCTAAAATTGCGGAAATTTCGTGACTAGAGATTCTAGTAGATTTTGAATATTCGATATATTCTATAGATTTTAGAAATTCTAACGTATCTAGATTCTAATAAGTAAATAATCAACAGCTTTCAGAGATTCCGAAAATCCAAAAAATTCTGAAGACTGAAGATTCGCAGGATTACTAATATTTTAAAGATTTCATAGATTCCAGAAATTCCAGAAATTCCGAAAATTCCGACACTAGAGATTCTAGAAACTCTAAATATTCTATACATTTTGCAGATTTTAGAGATTCCAAGTATTATACATATTCTAGAGACCATAGAGTTTGAGATTCTAGCGATTCGAGAGGTTTTGGATTCTAAATATCCTACAGATTCTGAAGTTTCTGAATATTTGGAAAACTGAAGGTCCCAAAAATTTTTGAAGAATTCTTTAGCATTCTGAAGATTACAAAGATTTCGAAGGATCAAAGATTCCAGAAATTTCAAAGATTCTTCAAATCCAAGAGATTCCATAGATTCTGAAGATTATAAAGATTTCAAAGGTTTCAGAAATTTCAGTAATCTCAAAAATTCTGGATATTCCGAGACACGAGAGATTTCAATGATTTTAAACAGTATGAAGATTTTTAGTATTTTCAAGGCTGAAGATGCTAAAAATTCTGAAGACTGAAGATTCCAGGATTGTAAATACTCTAACGATTTCAAAAATTCCAGAGATTCCACAAATTCCGAAAATTTCGAAGCTAAAAATTCCAGAAACAATAATATTCTGAAGATTCTATATAAAAATTCTAAGAATTTCGAAGACTGAACATTTCAAAAATTCTCAAGATTATAAAGATTTCAGAGATTCCAGAGATTGCCAATATTTTGGATATTCCGAGAGTATAGATAATTCAGAGATTCTAAAGATTCTGAATATTTTGAAGACTAAAATTTCTGAAGATTATAAATATCTAAAGTTTTCAGTTATTTCAGAAATCTTAAGCATCCTGGATATGCAAAAACAAGAAAATACAAAAAATTTTGAAGATTTCGAAGACTGAACATTCCAAAAATTTTGAAGATTTTGAAGACAGTGAAGATTTTGAAGATTATAAAGATTTCAAAAGATTCAACAAAAAAATATATATATTCTATATATTCTATATATTTTAGACATTCTAACAAATCTAGAGTCTAAATAATCTATACAAATTCTAGAGACCACAGAATTTTTCGAGATTCTAGATATCTAGCAGATTTTGAAGTTTCTAAATATTTCGAAAACTGAAGGTTCCAAAAGTTTCGAAAATTCCAAAAATTTCAAAATTTTTAAAAATTGCAAAGATTTGGGATATTTTTATTTATGAATATTTCGAAGACTGAAAATCCCAAAAATTCTGAAGACTTTAAAGATTCCTAGGTTTCTGCAAATTCCTAAAATTCCCAATTTAGAGCTTCTAGAATCTCTAAATATTCTGAATAATTTGAATATTCTACACATTCTACAGATTCATTTCAAAGCAAACGAAAATTGAAAATATTCGGCTGACAGGAATAATTCGTCATAATTTTGGTTCTGATCATTGCTATTTATGCGTTTATTACTATTTCAAAATAAAAATTAATCAAAGCTGATTATAGAACGTAAAATGGGTTGCCTATACAGAAATATCCAGGCGTGAACAGATAAAATAAACACCTGTATGTATTAAGTAAAAAAGAAAGCCAAAGATTAAGCTCCACCTATACCCGCCCCGATCTAAATTGTGACGAATATTTATACATTGTCATCAAGGGGCGGAGCATAATTGAAAAATCGATATTTCCCCACAAAAATGTACCATTTTAAATCATGATTTAAGTTTCTTGTTGTGAAAAGGAGTGATATATTAAGAAAAAAGGCAACATAAACCCCGCCCACCCATTCCATCTCAATTGTGATTATTTTTTTTATTCTTAGAAACACGTTTAAAATGGTAATTTTTTTTAAGGAAATATGGATTTTGCAATTAGGCTCCGCCTCTAGATCTGCCAACGAATGAAAACTTCATTACTATGCAGGGCAGGTATTGGTGGGGCTTATTCTTTGGCTTTAATTTTTTCTTAATATACATAGGATTCTTTGAATAACACGATACTCAAAAACATGTTTTTAACTTCTCGTAGAGAAATAAGGCTTTTGCAGTTAACCTCCGCCCTCTTGGCTCACGTTGAATAAAAAAATCATCAGAATCGAGATGGGGCGGGTGGGCGGGGCTTAAAGTCGCGATCTTTTCTATAGAACCACTCTCTAGTGTAAATTTTCAAAATTTGTTTGGTGTAAGTGACCTTGACGGGTTTCTGGGGGAAACATATGTGTCAAAAATTTGACAGGTTAGATGGCCCCATTGTCAATGTAGATATTTTATTTTAATAAATAGATGAACAGAACATACAGTCTGTACCGGATACAGTGCGGCATAGCTAAGGGCAACCGAAACATTCGTGTTGTGCTAATTTCGATTGCCATATCAACTGCCGCTACCAATTGCGTTCGGCGTAAAGTACTAGATGACAGGGCTACCAACTTGACTTTTTATCGAGTGGTTCCGTAGAAATGACCGCTACTGTATATTTTGCCGTTTTTTTCTTAGTATGTGTAGACTTATTTCAACACTTACGAAACTTAAAATGGAAATCATCCACTTTTCTTCTACAACCCCTTTAAATACGGCAAAAGTTATTATCAGTTCTAAAATCAACGTTAATGGGAACTTCAACGTCAACAGCAAGTAAATGCCACTTAACTTGGGACGTCCAGTATAGTGACACCATGTGACACCCAGTGCACTGACCTTGAAAATTGGCGGGAATTTATATCACATTTTTTTAGGTTATGGTCCAATTTATTTAATAATCTTTTTTATACAATGTTTGGTGAAAAAGCGTATCTTCTAATTAAAGAACTAGACCGAAATCGAGACTCCCTTCCCCCTTATAACGTAAGAAAGCACTAAAATCCCCAACACCATAAAAAAATTTTCACTTCCAGACAGAATTGCTCAGTGAAATCCACAACGAAGTCAAACAACTCGTGACAGAAAACCAAGAAGACGCGTAAGCTTTGTGTTTCATTGTAAAGCTCAATATAGCGCTTTTATTTCAGGAATGTGTCCGAACAGAGTCGGCTGGTTGAAAACGTGTCATACGTTCCAACACTCAAAATCCGGCACGCTGCCATTAAGAGAAACATTAGGTGCATTCTGGCTTATCACTACAACCGTTTAAAATGCTTGAAGACCATACGTTGGCAGTTTGGCAGCATTTTACCGCCTGAAGTCAAAGCAAACTTGAGTCAGGCGGAAATAGATTTTTTTTCCAAATATTCCAGCTCGTTAATGCAATATATGAGAGGCATTGGCGACGACGGGGGCGTCAATTTGGCCGTGAATTTAAAACCACCGAAGTCGCTCTACATCGAGGTACGTTGTGTGGTGGATTATGGACAGTTGGAACTGAGTGATGGGTCTGCGCTACTCCTGAAAAAGAACAGTAGGCACCATCTACCTCGAACAGAGTGTGAAGAATTGATTAGGCAAGGTGTGCTAGAACATGTAGTGTAATTTACTAATTTTAATAAAATTGCGAATAATTATGTGAGCTTTTTTTAAAAGTGGCGCCACAGAGGGCGCGCCTGTCAACCACACGAAATGACAAGTGACAAGTAGCGTCCACATAACCTCAAAACAATCTCGTTCCGGTTTCGCGTCCGTTAATTATAAACAGTTATTCGTGTGCGAAATGTCCGCAGATTTTTACATCCGCTACTACGTAGGCCACAAAGGAAAATTCGGGCACGAGTTTCTCGAGTTCGAATTTCGACCCGATGGTAAATTGAGGTACGCTAACAATTCCAACTACAAGAATGATACCATGATCCGGAAAGAAGTGTACGTCCATCAGTGCGTTATGGAAGAACTGAAGCGCATTATCGTGGATTCGGAAATCATGCAAGAAGACGATTCTCTGTGGCCCCCACCGGATAGGATCGGTCGACAGGAATTGGAAATCGTGATCAACGACGAACACATTTCTTTCACTACCTCGAAGACTGGGTCACTGGTGGACGTGAGCCAGTCCAAGGACCCGGAAGGCCTGCGGTGTTTTTATTATTTGGTACAAGATCTTAAGTGTCTTGTGTTTTCTTTGATTGGACTACATTTCAAGATTAAGCCAATTTAAGTTATAAATATTTAATGGCAACATTTTCTAAGTAAATAAAAAAATAATACATTGTGTTTCATTTGCATACATTTATTTTTCAGGTGGTTGGTTAGTCAAGCGTTCAGTAAAGTTCGTAGTCGTCGGGGTGGTACAACTCTGACAAGAGGCGATAGACGTATGAAGGTGCATTTCCACCCCTAAAACGATTTTATTAATTTGTAAATATTTGTAACCGCTTTGAGTTGGTACTTACTGATGAGATATAAAAAGAGTGACAAGTTCAGGCGGCACATAATCAAAAATGGGGTTATACACGTTGATTTTATTCAAGAGGGGTCCAGTGGAGTACGGAATAATATTAGCCGGGGAGGCGCACATTTTAAAAGTGTCTTTTTCATGTGAACACACGTAACTAGGAGTTAACTTATACATGTGTGCCAACACCATAACCTAAAATTATACTTTCACAACAAACAAAAAACATTTAAATAAGAAATTACCGGAACTGAGTAATGCTTAGCTGCCAGAGCTACCCCATGTACGCCACTGGCTGCCCGCAGCCCTCCATCAGCCATAACGCTATGCGTTCCAATAATAACCTTATTCACTCTGGACATCATTGCAAAAACCCCGGAATCAGGAATGACAGTTGTTTGAATGCCACTGAGCGCCAAACTAGCAGCCATTTTGTGTCCCTACAACCAACTCTACTTTCACGAATATTTAAAACTAGCGACTTACGTGATATAAAGGTCCTGCTTCCACTACAATGACCTGAAAACTTCTTTGTCCAGCGGCGTGTTTAAGAAATTTCTCAACTGTGTTCGATTTACCCACAGTTAAAATGATTTCTTTTGTGTGAATGTGTTCCAAAGCTTGCGCCGCTATGTTTTCAGTGCTTGTTTCCAACTCAACTTTGTATTCTGTTAAATGGTCGAGCAAACAATTTTTTAAATCACCGTGAGATTCTGAGTAGTCGCGTTCTTCGCTTTGGTCGGCGGTGACCAACTGGTGCAAGGATTGCCCTTCGCCCTTTTTCTGAATCATCGAATTTAGTTTATTTGATAACATTGGTTGAAAAATATATTTCTACCTTTGAAACTTGGTCACATTCCTCCCTAATTACTTTTAAAATGTGTCTCATAATATTCGTAGCGGTCGTCTCAAGGGGCAAACTTTGCGTGACTTGTTGAATTTTGCCCTTAATCTGCTGCATTAATTCTCTACAATGTAACAAAATTATTTAAAATACTATAGTGTGAGTGAAATTACTTTGCGTTGGCCCATTTTTCCTCGGATATTACTTTTTCTAGTAAGTTTTCGGTCCTGAGGGCAATTTCGTACGAACTAAACACTTTTCTGGAACAATATTGTGTAACTTTGGGTTAATATGGGGGGCAAAACTAACCCGTGTTTGATGTCGCTGATGAGGGTGATGACGTCCGATAGGTTCGCGTTTTGCGGCATTTTTTATTTATGCACAAAGTTGGTGTGAATTAGCAAATTTAAATTATAGCAGTTTATTTCTAGAGAAATTGGGTAAGTGAGGTTATGAACAAATGTCACTTGTCAGGGTGCTGACATCAGTCGGCTCAGTAGTTGCCAACAGAGGGATCCCGAACTCGCCAACTCTACATTTACAACGTCCCTAAATAATAATTATACAAATTAAATAATTGTACAAATCTAATGATAATGAAACTACAAAATTTACCATTTTGATAAAGTTCTAAGTCTTTATTATGAAAAAACAAAACGTACTATAAGAAAAACAAAGCAAAATGCAAGTCTCAACTGTGATGACTTTTTTTGCATGGGTGGCGTTTATATTTTGCGTTTGTTTTAAGTATACTTACGTAATTTTCTTTTCATAAGAAGAAACTGAAAACAAGTTCAAAATGGTACAATTTTGTAGGGAAACACGGATTTTGCAATTAAGCTCCGCCCCCTGGCTCACGACGAATAAATAAAATCATCACAATTGAGGCGGGGTGGGTGGGCGGGGCTTCTCTTTTGACTTGTGTTTCTCTCTTAATATTCGTAATCTTCTTTGTACATCAAGAAACTTAAAACATAAAGGCAAAAGGCAAAATATAACCTCCGGCCACCCGCCCTCATTTCAATTATGACGAATTTTTCATTCTTTGTCAGACCGAAGGGTGGAGCCTAATTGGAAAATCCATATTTCCCTACAAAATTTACCATTTTGATAAGGTTTTAAATCTTCGGTTGTGAAAAGAAAACTATGTACAGTACGAAAACACGAAAAAATGTAAGTCCCGCCCACCCACCCTATCTAAACTGTGAGGATTTTTTATGCATGGGCGGGGCTTATATTTGGAATTTTTTTTTTAGTATGCGTAATTTTCTTTTCATGACAAGAAACTGAAAACAAATCTAAAATGGTAAATTTTTTTAGGGAAATATTGATTTTGCAATTAAGCTCCGCCCCCTAGAGTACGATGAATAAAAAAAATAATCACAATTGAGGTGGGGAGGGTGGGCGGGGCTTCTCTTTTGACTTTTGTTTCTTTCTTAATATTCGTAATCTTCTTTCTACAACAAGAAACTTAAAACACGGTCAAAATGATAAATTTTCAAAGAGAAATATATGTATAAAAAGGCAAAACATAAGCCCCGCCCACCCGCCCTCATCTCAATTCCGATTAGTTTTTCATTTCTTGTCAGACCGAGGGGCGGAGCCTAATTGCAAAATCCATATTTCCCTATAAAATTTACCATTTTGATAAAGTTTTAAATCTTCGGTTGTGAAAAGAAAACTATGTGCAGTAAAATAAACAGGGAAAAAATGCAAGCCCCGCCCACCCACCCTATCTCAACTGTGATGATTATTTATGCATGGGTGGGCCTTATATTTTACGTTTTTTTTTAGTATACGTAATTTTATTTTCATGACAAGGAACTGAAAACAAGTCTATTTAAAATGGTAATTTTTTTTAGGGAAATACGGATTTTGCAATTAATCTCCGCCCCCTGGCTCACGACTAATAAAAAAAATCATCACAATTGAGGTGGGGTGGGTGCACGAGGCTTATCTTTTGACTTTTGTTTCTTTCTTAATATTCGTAATCTTCTTTCTATGTACAACAAAAAACTTAAAACACGGTCAAAATGATAAATTTTCAAAGAGAAATATATGTATAAAAATGCAAAACAAGCGCCTCCCACCCGCCCTCATCTCAATTCCGATTAGTTTTTCATTTCTTGTCAGACCGAGGAGCGGAGCTTAATTGCAAAATCCATATTTGCTTAAAAAAATTACCAATTTAAGAAAGTTTTCAGTTGTTTTTAAAAAGAAAACCAACTACAGTAAGAAAAATAGGACAAAATGCAAACCCCGCCTACCCACCCTATTTAAACTGTGATGTTTTTTTATGCATGGGCGGGGCTTATATTTGGCCTTTTTTTAGTATACGTAATTTTCTTTTCATGACAAGAAACTGAAAACAAGTCTGTTTAAAATGGTAATTTTTTTTAGGGAAATACTGATTTGGCAATTAAGCTGGCGGCTGGCGGCGAATAAAAAATCATTCTAATTGAGGTGGGGTGGGTGGGCAGGGCTTATCTTTTGACTTTTGTTTCTTTCTTAATGTTCGTAATCTTTTTTCTACAACAAAAAACTTAAAACATGGTCAAGACGATACATTTTCGTGGAGAAATATATACTGCCCGACAAAAAACCCGGACATTTGAGTATTTGTAAATTTACGCTTATATTTAGTGTTATCACTTCTTATCACTTTTTTGTGTTTCCACATGTTCTATAATAATTTGTTTTCTATTTATGAATACATTAATGATTTGCTTTTTGGAATATGTTTTACAAAAGTTCGACCAGTTGTAGGTAATCACAAAAAATTCACGTGTCTGAGGTTTTTTGTCTGGGAGTGTATTTAAAAAAAGGCAAAATATAAACCCCGCCCACCCTCCTCATCTCAATTCCGATTAATTTTTCATTCCTTGTCCGACCAATGGGCAGAACCTAACTGCAAAATCCATATTTTGCTTAAAACATTTTACCAATTTGATAGATAGTTTTAAGTCTTTGATTGTGAAAAGAAAACTACCTACGTAACATTAAAAAAACAGGACAAAATGGAAGCCCCGCCCACCTGCGCTATCTCAACTGTGATGATTTTTTATGCACGAGCGAGGCTTATATTTTCCGTATTGTTTAAGTATACGTAAATTTCTTTTTATAACAAGTAACTGAAAACGTTTAAAATGGTATAATTTTGTAGGGAAATACTGATTTTGCAATTAAGCTCCACCCCCTGGCTCACGACGAATAAAAACAATCATCTCAATTGAGGTAAGGTGGGTGGGCGGGGCTTATCTTTAGACTTTTGTTTCTTTCTTAATATTCGCAATCTTCTTTCTACAACAATAAACTTAAAACATGCTCAAAATGGTACATTTTCGCAAAGACATATATTTTAAAAGAAGGCAAAATATAAGGGGCTTATATTTTACGTTTGTGTTTTAGTATGTGTAATTTTTTTTATAACAAAAAAAATTCAAAATGGTAAAATTTTGTAGGGAAATACGGATTTTGCAATTAAGCTTTCCCCTTTGGCTCACGACGAATAAATAAAAAATCATCACACCTCAATTGGGGTGGGTGGGCGGGGCTTCTTTTTTGACTTTTGTTTCTTTCTTAATATTCGTATTCTTCTTTCTACAACAAGAAACTTAAAACACGGTCAAAATGATAAATTTTCATAGAGAAATATATATGCATAAAAAAGGCAAAACATAAGCCCCGCCCACCCGCCCTCATACCAATTCCGGTTAATTTTTCATTCCTTGTCAGATCGAGGGGCGGAGCGTATTTGCAAAACCCATATTTGCTTAAACATTTTACCAATTTGATAGTTTTAAGTCTTTGCTTGTGAAAAGAAAACTTATGTACGAGGTAAGCGCCAAATATTCTCGGCCTATCAAAGAAAGAGACCTGATGGAAAAAAATTAAATATTTATATTTCAACATAATCTCTGTTAACTTCAATACATTCAAAACTACGTTCAACTAACAGCTCTATGCGTTTAAAAAAATTATTTGAATCTTCATCACTAAAATGATGTAGTACTGCCGTTTGCACCTCTTTATCCGTCCAAAACGTTTTCCCTGCAAGTCGTTTTTTATCTTAGAGAACAGTTAATAACACTGGTCAACAGCTAAACTCTAACTTTTATTATAGCAGTCAATTATTATTTAATTAGCAATTTTAAATGATATTATAAAGGGCTAAACCAAAACTTAGCTCTCATTTAAAAGTAATCTTAAAATATTATCCTTTGAAAAATACAAAAATCGTACTATTAAGTAATAGGAAACTTACTATAAGGTGTATTTTTTTGTAATCAAATTACTACAAACTTCTTGGGAAACAATAAGAAAACTACGTTTAGTAAGTAGAAGACATGTTATCATCATATACAAAATTTAAAATTAACATATTCTTAAAAGTGCATTTTATACACTCGCACCTTGATTTTTTCCCCAAAAATTGTGACGACGTGAGTTACCATCATAGAGAACGCATCCATCTGGGCATTTTGTCGATAGAAAAACGTTACCAAGATCGATGGAATACCTAAATGACACCTAAATGCTCGCAGAATACTGCGGGACCATCAAGCGAGAGATCTCCAATAAAATCTATAGGAGGCAACCGAAAAAACGTCGGTCTTCCCTGTTTCTTTTGTTTTTTTCGTTTTTTAAACTAGATTCGTTGTTTTTTTCTCATTTAAGGTTGTTCTTTTGTTAATACTACACTTTTTGCCGTTAAAGATACAAAAATTAAATTGTTTTACCTGATTTTCTGTTTCAAACATCAAATATGCATATTTTTTTTAATTGAGCTAAGTTATAAGATTTATGCTCTTTATTACAAACACAGAGACAAATTAAACGAAAACATTACAATTATGTCAAAGTTAGAGAGAAAAAATTAAATTTTGTTGACCAGTGTAATCGTTCGAAGCTAAGTCAGTACTGTAGGGTGGATGATCAAGTTACTCGAAGTCACAGGCCCCTATAGCAGCTTGAGAAAGACATGCGGTATGAACGAGCGCATTTTCATGAAGCAATCGAACGCCTCTTGTTAATTTTCTCGGCCTTTTTTCCAAAATACGGTCTCCTAATTTATGCAGTAAGTAAGCATAATATGTAGCGTTGACAGTGGTATTTCATCCTTTAAAATTAATCAACAACATGCCCTTACAGTCCCAAAAAATTGTGGCCATGATTTTTTTGGAAGATTGGTTCGTCTTCAAGGGTTTCTTACCCCATGCGAAATAACTGTGATCATTTTTTTTAGTAAAATGTGAAGGACAAGCTTCAGCAAACACAAAAACCATCCTGTCCTTAATACCCTTTAGAGCAATTCCATCTTTTGATAAGAATTTTATTGCCGTTCGATTTTCAATTTTAAACAGGCATGATGAGTCCATAATTTTTCAAATATTACTCCTCAAATGTATCAAAACTAATGGGCAGTGGGGCTTGAAATTTTACACACATACTGCGGGGACCCTCTAGTCTTTTATGAGTTGTACAAATTTCCCGACGAGCAATCGCAATATATCAATATATCAGGCCGAGAATATTTGGCGCTTACCTCGTACAGTAAGAAAAACAGGAAAAAATGCAAGCCCCGCCCACCTGTGATGATTTTTTTTCATGCATGGGCGGGCCTTACATTTTACGTTTTTTTTTAGTATAGGTAATTTTCTTTTCGTGACAAGAAACTGAAAACAGGTCTAAAATGGTAAAATTTTTTGGAGAAATACGGATTTTGCAACTAAGCGCCGCCTCCTGGCTCACGACGGATCAATAAAAAACATCTCAATTGAGGTTGGGTGGATGGGCGAGGCATCTCTTTTGACTTGTCTTTCTTTCTTAATATTCGTAATCTTCTTTGTACATCAAGAAACCTAAAACATAAACGCAAAAGGCAAAATATAAGCCCCGCCCACCCGCCCTCATTTCAATTCTGATGAATTTTTCATTCTTTGTCAGAACGAGGGCTGGAGCCTAATTGCAAAATCCATATTTCCCTATAAAATTTACCATTTTGATAAAGTTTTAAATCTTCGGTTGTGAAAAGAAAACTATGTACAGTAAGAAAAACACGAAAAAATGCAAGCCCCGCCCACCCGCTCTATCTCAACTGTGATGATTTTTTTACGCATGGACGGGGCTTATATTTTGCGTTTTTCTTTTAGTATACGTAATTTTCTTTTCATGACAAGAAACTGAAAACAAGTCTAAAATGGTAAAATTTTTAAGGGAATACGGATTTTGTAAATAAGCTCCGCCCCCTGGCTCACGACGAATAAAAAAAATCATCACAATTGAGGTTGGGTGGGTGGACGGGGCTTCTCTTTTGACTTGTGTTTCTTTCTTAATATTCGTAATCTTCTTTGTACATCAAGAAACTTAAAACATAAAGGCAAAAGGCAAAATCTAAGCCCCGCCCACCCGCCCTCATTTAAATTCTGATGAATTTTTCATTCTTTGTCAGACCGAGGGGTGCAGCTTAATTGCAAAATACATATTTCCCTATAAATTTTATCATTTTGATGAAGTTTTAAATCTTCGGTTGTGAAAAGAAAACTATGTACAGTACGAAAACACGAAAAAATGCAAGCCCCTCCCACCCGCCCTATCTCAACTGTGATGATTTTTTTATGCATGGGCGGGGCTTATATTTTCCGTATTTTTTAAGTATACGTAATTTTCTTTTCATGACAAGAAACTGAAAACAAGTCTATTTAAAATGGTAAATTTTTTTAGGGAAATACTGATTTGGCAATGAAGCTCCGTCCCTTGATTCACGGCGAATAAAAAAATCATCCCAAATGAGGTGGGGTGGGTGGGCGGGGCTTCTCTTTTGACTTGTGTTTCTTTCTTAATATTCGTAATCTTCTTTGTACATCAAGAAACTTAAAACATAAAGGGAAAAGGCAAAAGATAAACCCCGCCCACCCGCCCTCATTTCAATTCTGATGAATTTTTCATTCTTTGTCACACCGAGGGGTGGGGCCTAATTACAAAATCCATATTTCCCTATAAAATTTATTATTTTGATAAAGTTTTAAATCTTCGGTTGTGAAAAGAAAACACGAAAAAATGCAAACCCCGCCCACCCACCCTATCTCAACTGTGATGATTTTTTTATGCATGGGCGGGCCTAACATTTTACGTTTTTTTTGTTAGTGTACGTAACTTTATTTTCATGACAACAAACTGAAAACAAGTCTAAAATGGTAAAATTTTTTAGGGAAATACGGATTTTGCAATTACGCTCCGCCCCCTGGCGTACAACGAATAAAAAAAATAATCACAATTGAGGTGGGGTGAGTGGGCGGGGCTTCTCTTTTGATTTGTGTTTCTTTCTTTATTCGTAATCTTTTTTGTACATTAAGAAACTAAAACATAAAGGCAAAAGACAAAATATAAGCCCCTCTCACCCGCCCTCATTTCATTTCTGATGAATTTTTCATTCTTTGTCAGACCGGGGGGTGGAGCCTAATTACAAAATCCATATTTCCCTATAAAATTTATCATTTTGATAAAAATTGAAATCTTCGGTTGTGAAAAAAAAACTGTACAGTAAGAAAAACACGAAAAAATGCAAGCCCCGCCCACCCACCCTATCTAAACTGTGATGATTTTTTATGCATGGGCGGGGCTTATATTTGACCTTTTTTTTAGAATACGTAATTTTCTTTTCATGACAAGAAACTGAAAACAAGTTCAAAATGGTAATTTTTTTTTAGGGAAATACTGATTTGGCAATTAAGCCCCGCCCCTTTATACACAAAAAAAAAATCATCCCAATTGAGGTGGGGTGCGTGGGCGGGGCTTCTCTTTTGATTCGTGTTTCTTTCTTAATATTCGTAATCTTCGTTGTACATCAAGAAACTTAAGACATAAAGGCAAAAGACAAAATATAAGCCCCGGCCACTCGCCCTCATTTCAATTCTGATGAATTTCTCATTGTTTGTCAGACCGAGGGGCGGAGCGTAATTGCAAAATCCATAATTCCCTATAAAATTTACCACTTTGATAAAGTTTTAAATCTTCGGTTGTGAAAAGAAAACTATGTACAGAAAGAAAAACACGAAACAATGCAAGCCACGCCCACCCGCTCTATCTCAACTGTGATGATTTTTTTATGAATGGGGTGGGGGGCTTATATTTTGCGTTTTTTTTTAGTATACGTAATTTTCTTTTCTTAACAAGAAACTGAAAACGTTTAAAATGGTAAATTTTTTAAGGAAAATACGGATTTTGCAATTAAGCTCCGCCCCCTGGCTCATGACGAATAAAATAAAATTATCCCAATTAAGGTGGGGTGGGTGGGCGGAGCTTATCTTTTGACTTTTGTTTCTTAATATTCGTAATCTTCTTTGTACAAAAGGAAACTTAAAACAAGGTCAAAATGGTAAATTTTCGTAGAGAAGTATATTTTAAAAGAATGGAAAATATAAGGGCGTTTTTTTTTTCAGTATACATATGTAATTTTCTTTTCATAACAAGAAACTGAAAAAAAATTCAAAATGGTAAAATTTTGTAGGGAAATACTGATTTTGCAATCAGGCTTTCCCCTCTGGCTCACGACGAATAAAAAAAAATCATCACAAGTGAGTTGGGGTGGGTGGGCGGGTCTTATTTTTTAATTTTGTTTCTTAATATGCGTAATCTTCTTTCTACAACAAGAAAGTTAAAACATTCTTTTCATGATAAGAAACTGAAAACAAGTTTAAAATGGTAAAATTTCGTATGGAAATAACGGATTTTGCAATTAAGCTCCACCCCCTGGCTCACGACGAATAAAAAAATCGTTACAATTGAGCTGGGGTGGGTGGGCGGGGCTTTTATTTTAACTTTTGTTTCTTTCTTAATATTGGTAATCTTTTTATCATAGAAAACTTAAAACAGGGTAAAAATGGTAAATTTTTGTAGAGAAATATATCAAAAAGGTAAAATAATATTGATGTTTGAAGCAAATTTTTGTGTTGGCAATTCTGAATTATTAGCAGTAATGCTAGTATGTCAGTTCACATATGTCAGTTTTGACACGAGCATGCGCTGTTGCAATTCAAGCAATTACTTACCAGTATCTTGCTAAAAAATGTAAAGGTGCTCTTTTATAAAATAGAAGTTTCACTTTCCACTAGACTGTATAGTATACTGTACCTGCGTTAGAAAAAGAAAATGCGTTTGAGAATCTTGCAATAGTAAATTTTGCTCTTTTATTTCCATCAATCCATCCTAAAGTATTGTATTTGATATAGTATATAAATTTTAACCAAAATATTACAAATCACAAAAATATCACTTTATCAATAAACTAACAATTTACAAAAAGATCCAACCAGTTACTTCGACTTGAGTTTTTTCCGCTTTTTCCCCTTCTCGGCCTTGACGGCCTCCGCCGACGTCTTCGTCAGCCTCCTCAGCGTGTGCTTTTTGAACTTACACTTGGTGAACGACGAATTCTTCGCGAAGTTGTGAACGATAAACGTGGGCCTGCTCGGCCCCGCCTCCACGTTGCTCTTGGTGGTCATCAGCGACGCCACCTCCTGCATCTTACTCTTCTTGGAGAACACCTGCGAGCTGCAGCTCGGCTTCCACGACACCGTCTCGCTCTTCACCTCCTTCGCCTTGCTCTCGTTGCACTTAATGATGCAGATCTCCCGCAGCTTCACCCGCTCCTGCTCGCTCTCTTTGGCGCTCTGCTTCTTCGCCCCTTTGGCGGCCGCAGCCGAGGCGCTGCGCATTTTCCCCCTGCAGATCTTCTTGTCCACGCTAACGCTGCGCTTCAGCCTGTGGGCGAAGTCTTTTTTCGACTTGGGCTTCAGGCTTTTGTTCAGGCGGAAGGTGGACTTCCCGTGGTCGCCGCCGGAGTACGAGCAGCTCGGCTGGGTGCTCGCGGTCATCGCCATGTTTTCTTTGCGTTCGATAGGAACTGTGTTGGGTCTGTTTCGGTTTGCTAATCTCTTGGGCACTGTTACGGGTCTGGACTTCATGATTAAACCATGAGCTGTTTTGCCCTGCAGCAATAAAACTCTTACCAGAGTTATTTTTTATATTTGTAAATAAAACCACAAACCTTCGGTACACATTTTTTTCAAAACAAAAGTATAAAAGTAACAATTTAAACGAAAAGACAGTCACCAATCGACTTCGCTCAAGTCGGATAAGATTGAGTCGTCATGTTGGCCTACCTGATTATGCAGGCCTGCCAGGTTTTTCAGTTTTACTTTGGAGGGGCCGCGAGGTTCTTCCATTTCGTTGGCACAGTTTATGCGTAACCAGTCTTTTAAACCAGAGATGGAATGAAACTCGGAGTTGGGGATGCGAGTGCAGGGGTTCTGGCCGGTCAGGTCGAGGATCGAGGCACCGAGGGATTTGCCAACCTAAGAAAACGAAAAACACCGTTGGAGTGAAGGTACATCAGGAGTAAGCGAAAAAGTGATGGTACCTCTTCGAAAATCTGGGGGGTGAATTTTGGAGGCACTAGAATTGTGTGGACCTTGTTTTGCTGTTCTTTAATAGTGGGTGGGAGAACGTTGACGATTCTTCCTGTGTTGTAGTTACACTCCAGAGTGTAACTTTTGGTTAATCCTGTTAGTTTGAGGACGGCCACACGGCCTGAGCCTTCTCTACTCATGCCGTCTCTTTTATCCCTAGAAATCACACGATTTGTTAGAAAAATATTTTATCTTAAAAAAAAAAAATGAAAAGTTCTACGCAATTCTGGTCGGGCACCAGTTTTTGTACGAATAGGTGAGGACTTTTTCCTAAATTTGATTTTTTTAAGAAATACACCAAAAATTCCCCAGCAATCGCTCCGGTAGTTTTAGATATATCATTCTAATAAAATCACAAACAATTTTTTTTTTGGTACTTTTTTTTTTATAAATTTCCTTGCGAGCCCTATTTGGGCGCCAGTTTTTGTCCAAAAGTTGGTTGAAGGTTATTTCGACAGAATTTCCCTCACCCTTGAAGAAAAGTCCAACAAATGCCGTTTTTTAAAAAAATATGCAATTTGATTTTGCGATTTCTGTTTTGTGCTAAAAATCAAAAAACTGAAAAATCGCGAAATCGAAAAAATGAAGAATAGAAAATTCGAATATCGAAAAATCCAAAATTCGAAAAACTGAGAATGGAAAAACTGAAAAATTGAAAATTCAATGAATCAAATATAAAAAATGAAAAATCGAAAATTCGAAAAAACGAGAACTAAATTAAAGAAAATTCGTATATCGAAAAATTGAAATTCGGAAATTTGACGAATCAAATATTCGAAAAATTGAAAATTCGAGGAATAAAATATTCAAAAAACAAAAACCGAGAAATCCAAAATTTGAAAAAAAAAAACAAATCGAAAAATCGAAAATTCAAGAAATCGAAAAGTAAAACAATTGAAATTAAAAACTGAAGAATGGGACAATTGAAACTTCGAAAATCAGAAAAAAAAATCAAAAATCGATAATTCGATGAATCAAATAACCAAAAACGAAAGTTCGAAAAATCGGAACCGAACAATCGAAAATCGGGAAATCGGAAAGTAAAATTGAAAATTCAAACTTCGGAAACCGTCCAAAATGTGAAAAATTAAAAAAACCAAAATCGAAAATTCTGAAAATCACATGTCGAAAAGCGAACAATCGTAAACCGAAAAATATAAAAAAATCAAAAATTGGAAAAAACAAAAATTCGATGAATAAAATATTGGAAAAAAAAACTCGAGAAATCCAAAATTCGAAAAGTAAAAAAAATCAAATTAAAGACTGAAGAATACTTGAAAATTAGGAAAAAAAAATGAAAATTAAGATTGGAAAACTGAAAAATCGAAAATAGAGTAAAATTGAAAATTCAAACATAGAAAAGTCGAAATTTGTAAAACTGAAAAATGAAAAATCTAAAATTTTATATTCAATTAATCCAGAAAAATTGTAAACCGAAAAATCGTAAATCGAAAATTCGGTGAATGAAATATTCGAGAAATCGAAAAGTAAAAAATTAAAAAATCCCTCAAAAAATCAAAAATGCAAAAATTGAAAAATGGAAAATAAAAACATTCAAATTAAAAACTGAAGAAGGGGAAAATTGAAAACTCGAAAATTAGAAAAACTCACAATTTTAAAAATCGATGAATCAAATATTTGAAAAAACGAAAATTTGCAAATCAAACAAAATTGGAAATTCGGAAATGGGAAAGTCGAAAATTTGTAAAATTAAAAAACCAAAAAATTCAAAATTCGAATAATCCACAATCGAAAAATCGTAAACAGAAAAATCGAAAGATCGAAAAATGGGAAGTCAAAAAAATGGAAAACAGAAAAAACTAAAATCGAAAGAACGAAAAACCGAAGAGAAAAAAAACTGAAAATTCAAATATCAAAAAAATACAAAATTCGAGAAATCGAGAATAGAAAAATCGAACATTCAAGACATCGAAAAGTCAAAAAATTGAGAAGTCTAAAATCTGCGAACTGGAAAAATTAAAAAAATCAAAAACAGGAAAAAACAAAAATCGAAAGAACGAAAAATCGAAAAGAAAAAAAATGAAAATTCAAATATCAAAATCCAAAATTCGCGAAATCGAGAATAGAAAAATCGAACATTCAAGATATCGAAAAGAAAAAAAAATTGAGAAGTCTAAAAACTGCGAAATGGAAAAATCTAAAAAATCAAAACAGGAAAAAAACGTAAATCGAAAGAACGAAAAATCCAAGTCGAAAAATCTAAAAGAAAAAAATGAAAATTCAAATATCGAAAAATCCAAAATTCGGAAAATCAAAAATCGAAAAATCGAACATTCAAGACACCGAAACGAAAAAAAATTGAGAAGTCTAAATATTGAAGAATGGAAAAATCTATAAAACCGAAAATAGGAAAAAACAAAAATTCTAAAATTCGATGAATCAAATATTTGAAAATCGAAAAACTGCAATTTCGAAATATCCAAAAAACAAAAAAATCGAAAAAGGCAAAGTCGAAAAATCCAACATTTCAAAATATCGAAGAATCGACAAATCTAAAATCGGAACCTCGAGAAGTTGAATGATGTAAAATTCGAAAATTCGAGAAATGGAGAATCGAAAAATCGGGACATCAAAACATCTAAAAGTAACAAAATTGAGAAGTTTAAAAACTGAAAAATTGATAAATCTAAAAAATCAACAATAAGAAAGAACGAAAATTCTAAAAATCAAAAATCCGGGGTCGAAAAATTGAACATTCGATGAATCAAATATTTGAAATGCCGAAATATCGAAAATTCGACGAATGAAATATTCCACAAAACGAAGAATCCTTCCTATAATATTGAAAAAACGAAATATGTATGAAAAAATGGAAAGATGAAAAATAGAAAATTCCCCAAATCCAAAATTCGAGCAATCAAATATTCGAAAAATCGAAAACTGAAAGAACGAAAATCGGAAAAACGAGAAGTAAAAAAATCGAGAAATTTAAAATTCTAAAAGTCTAAAATTAGAAAAATCGCAAATTCAAAAACTGAATGGGAATTTGAAAGCTTGAAAATTAGAGAAATCGGAACCGAGAAATCCAAATTCCCAAAAACGAAGAAAAGCAAAATTGAAAATTCGTAGGTACATCAGAAAGCCCCGAAAATTTGAAAAATTGAAAAATCCAAAACCGAAAATTCGTTGAATTTTTCGAATTATTCGAATAATCCAAAAGTGAAAAGTCGAATAATCCAAAAATCGTAATCCAAAAACTGTAAATCGAAAAAAAATGGAAAAATCTCCCGGAAAGTCGAAAAATAAAAATTGAAACATCGAGAAATCGAAAAATGGAAAAGCAGAATTGAAAACTAAAATATATATAATATCGAAAATTCCAAAATTCAAAATATCGAAATTCGAAAAACCGAAAATTCTAGACATCGGAAAGTAAAAAAACTGAAAAGGCTAAAAACTGAAGAATGGGAAAATTGAAAAATCAAAAATTCGGTGAATAAAATATTCGAAAAAACAAAAATTGAGAAATCCAAAATTCCAAAAATCGAAAAATTGAGAATCGAAAATTCAAGAAATTGAAAAGTAAAAAAAAAGAAATTAAAAACTGAAAAATGGAAAAATTGAAATCACAAAAGTCATTAAAATCAAAACATCGAAAAGTAAAAATGAAAATTCGCATATTGTAAAGTCGAAAATTTGAAAAATACAAAAATTGAAAAATTGAAAGATCCAAAATATCGAAAAATCGACAAATCCTTCCTAAATTTCGAAAAATGGAAAGTCGAAAAATCGAAAGATAAAAAATAGAAAATTCCAAAATTCGATTAATCAAATATTCGACATACAGGAAATGGAAAGAACGAAAAATTGAAAAATTCGAAAGCCCATTAATCAAATTCGAAAAAATCTATAAACCGAAAAATGGTAACTCAAAAAATCGAAAATTCGATGAATCAATTATTGGGAAAATCGAAAAACCGAGCATTCGAAATGTTGAAAAATATCACAAAATCGAAAAATGGGAAGTCAAAAAATTGAAAATTCAATAAATTGAAAAAGCAAAAAATCAAAAATCGAAAAGTAGAAAATTGAAAAATCGAAAAAATGAAGAACGAAAAAAATTGAAAAATCGAAAAAGTAAAAAAAGTACATTGGAGATATCGAAAAATTAAAAAATTGAGAAGTCTAAAAACTGAAAAATGGAAAAATTTTAAAAATCAAAAATAAGTAAACGATAATTCGATGATCACTTATTTGAAAAATTGAAAATTGAAAAATCGAAAAACCGTAAATCGAAAAATCTAAAATTCGATGAATCAAATATTCGAAAAATCGAAGGTTGATAAATTGAAAATTTGAAATATCGAAAAATCGAAATCTCAAAAAAATCGAAAAAGGGAAAGTTGAAAAATCCAACATTTAAAAAAATTGATTTTTTTAAGAAATGCACCAAAAATTCCCCAGCAATCGCTCCGGTAGTTTTAGATATATCATTCTAATAAAATCACAAACAATTGTTTCTTGGTACTTTTTTTTTTAATAAATTTCCTCGCGAGCTGTTTGGGCGCCAGTTTTTGTCCAAAAATTGATTGAAGGTTTCGACAGAATTTCCCTCGCCCTTGAAGGAAAATCCAAGAAATGCCTTTTTTTGCAAAAATTATGCAATTTGAATTTGCGATTTTTGTTTTGTGATAATTTCCATCAAGTTAAAATCAGTGGCGTAAATAAGAACTCCGAAAATTCGAAGAAATAGAAAAATCTTTCGGAAAGTCAAAAAATTAAGAACCAAGAACTCGAGAAAAATAAAAAATTGGAGAAATCGGAAAATAAAAAAAACTGAAGAATGGAAAAATGAAAAATACAGAACTCGAGATATCAAAAAATCGAAAAGTAAAAACATTAAAAATTCGAACAGAAAAATCGAAAATTGGAAAAATCCAAAAACTGAAAATCTCCCGGAAAGCAGAAAAATCGAGAAATCGAAAAAATGAAGAATAGAAAATTCGAAAATCGAAAAATCCAGAATCGAAAAGCCGAAAATTCTAGATATAGGAAAGTAAAAAAATTGAAAAGTCGAAAAACTGAGAATGGAAAAATTGAAAAACCGAAAATTCAAGAAATCGAAAAGCAAAAAAATTGAAATTAAAAACTGAAGAATGGGACAATTGAAAACTCGAAAATTAGAAATATGTACCGACAATTTTAAAAATGGATGAATCAAATATTCGAAAAAACGAAAATTCGAAAATCAAGTAAAATTGAAAATTCGAAAATCGGAAAGTCGAAAATTTGTAAAATTAAAAAACCAAAAAATTGAAAATTCCAAAATCGCAAATTCCGTGAATCATATAGTCTAATAATCCACAATCGAAAAATCGAACAATCGAAAAATCAAACAATCGAAAAACCGTAAACAGAAAAATGGTAAATGGAAAGATCGAAAAATGGGAAGTCAAAAAAATGGAAAATTCGATATTTCGACAAATTGGAAAGTCGAAAAATTGAAAATGCAAATATCAAAAAATCCAAAATTCGAGAAATTGAGAATCGAAAATTTAAAAAACTGAGAAGTCTAAAAACTGCGGAATGGGAATATCTAAAACATCAAATACAGAAAAAACTAAAATCGAAAGAACGAAAAATCGAAGAAAAAAATTGAAAATTCAAATATTGAATAATCCAAAATCTGGAAAATCGAAAATTCGAAAAAATCGAACATTCAAGACATCGAAAAGTCAAAAAATTGAGAAGTCTAAAAACTGCGGAATGGAAAAATAAAAAAATCAAAAACAGGAAAAAACAAAAATCGAAAGAACGAAAAATCAAAAAATCCAAAATTCGGAAAATCGAAAAGTCGAGATATTGTGAATCAAAAAATCGAACATTCGAGACACCGAAAAGTGAAAAAATTGACAAGTCTAAAAACTGCGAAATGGAAAAATCTAAAAAATCAAAAACAGGAAAAAAACGTTAATCGATGAATCAAATGTTTGAAATGTCGAAATATCGAAAATTCGACGAATGAAATATTCCACAAAACGAAGAATCCTTCCTATAATATTGAAAAAACGAAATATGTATGAAAAAATGGAAAGATGAAAAATAGAAAATTCCCAAAATCCATCGAATTCGAAAAATTGAAAACTGCAAGAACGAAAAATCGAAAATTCGGAAAGTTGAAAAATTGAAACATCGAAAAATTGGAAAATAAAAAAACTGAAAATGAAATGAATCAAAAATCCAAAATTCAATCAAATATTCGAAAAATCGAAAGAACGAAAAATAAAAAATTCGGAAAGTTGGAAAATTGAAACATCGAAAATTTGATGAATGAAATATATATTTGGAAAATCGAAAACCGAAAAACAGAATTCGAAATATCGAAAAATTGAAAATTCGAATTATCGAAAAAACGAAATATCAAAAAATGGAAAAATGGAAAGTCAAAAATCGAAGAGTAAAAACACTGAAAATTCAAATGTCGAAAAATTCAAAATTCGAAAAATCACAAATTCAAGAAATTTAGAACAACGAAGACATCGAAAGGTTAAATAATTGAGAAGTCGAAAAACTGAAGAATGGAAAAATCTGAAAAATCAAAATAGGAAAAAACAAAAAAAAAAATCTGAAAGTCAAAAAATTAAAAAATCAAAAAATGCACATTTGAAAAATTCAAAATTGAAAAATTTTAAATTCTAAGAATCGATGAATCAAATATTCGAAAAATCGATAAATCCTTGCTCCAATATTGAGAAAACGAAATAACAAAAAATCGAAAAATGGGAAATTAAAAAATAAAAAATTCGATAAATCGAAAAATTGGAAAGTCAAAAATCGACAAGTACAAAATTGGAAAATCGAAAAAATGAAGAATAGAAAAATTGAAAAATCGCAAAGTAAAAAAATTGAAAATTCACATATCGAAATCAAGAATCGAAAAATCGAACATTGGCTCATCGAAAAGTTACAAAATTGAAAGTCTAAAAACTGAAGAAAGGAAAAATTTGAAAATTCGGAAAATCCAAAAACAGAAAAATTAAAAAATTGAAAATTCGGTGAATCACATCGAAAATCGAAAGAACGAAAAATTGGAAACTCGAAAAACCGAAGAGTAAAAAAATCGAAAATTCGAACATCAGAAAATGTAAAAATCAGAAATTTCAAAATATCGAAAATGACTGAAATATTCGAAAAATGCAAAAATCCAAAAATCGATCAATCAAAAATTCGAAAAATCGAAAACTGAAAGAACGAAAAATCGAAAATTCGAAAAGTTGAAAAATTGAAACATCGAGAAATCGAAAAAAGATCGACACATCGAAAAATTGAAACATCGAAAATTTCATGAATGAAATATTTGGAAAATCGAAAACCGAAAAACAGAATTCGAAATATCGAAAAAATGAAATATCAAAAAATGGAAAAATGGAAAGTCAAAGATCGAAAAGTAAAATATTGAAAAATTGAAAAAAATGAAGAATAGAAAAACTGAAAAATCGAAAAGTAAAAACACTGAAAATTCAAAATTCGAAAATTCACAAATTCAAGAAATCTAGAATCGAAAAATACAACAAAAACATCGAAACGTTAAAAAATTGGGAAGTCGAAAAACTGAAGAATGGAAAAATCTGAAAAATCAAAATAGGAAAAAACAAAAAAAAGATATTCCAAAATTCGGAAAGTCAAAAAATTAAAAAATCAAAAAAATGCAGAATGGAAAATTCGATAAATCACATTCGAAAAATTCAAAATTGAAAAATTTAAAAATCTAAGATTCGATGAATCAAATATTTGAAAAATCTAAAAAGCGAGAAATCGAATATCGAATGATCTAAAATTACAAAAATCGATAAATCGTTCCTACAATATCGAAAAAACGAAATAACAAAAAATCGAAACATAAAAAAAATCCAAAATTCGGTCAATCAAATATTCGAAAAAACAAAATTGAACGAACAAAAAATCGAAAATTCGGAAAAAATTGAAAAATAAAAAATAGAAAACTTGAGAATTCAAAAAATCGATAAGAAAAAATAAAAATGAAAATTCGAAGATCGAAACCGAAAAATTGGTAAACAAAAAAATTAAAAATGAGATGAATCAAAAATCCAAAATTCAATCAAATATTCGAAAAATCGAAAATCGAAAAGACGAAAAATTGAAAATCCGGAATGCTGAAAAATTGAAACAGAAATAAAAAAAATGAAAATTCGAAGATCGAAAAATTGAAACATCGAAAATTCGATGAATCAAATATTTGGAAAATCAAAAAAATTAAAAATCGAAAATTCGAAAAATCACAAATTCAAGAAATCGAGAATTGAAAAATCCGACATTGCAGACATCGACAATTAAAAAAAATTGAGATATCGAAAAACTGAAGAATGAAAAAATCTGAAAAATCAAAATAGGAAAAAACCAAAAAAAAAAAAATTCGAAAATTCGTCAAGTTGAAAAATAAAAAAATGAAATACAAAATTCGATAAATCACATCCGAAAAATTCAAAATTGAAACATCGTAAGTCAAAAAAACTAAAATTCTAAGATCCGATGAATCAAATATTCGAAAAACCAACAAATCGATAATCTGCCGTACAATATCGAAAACACGAAATATAAAAAAATGGAAAAATGGATAGTTAAAAAATAAAAAATCCGATAAATTGAAAAATTGGAAAGTCAAAAATCGAAAAAATGAAGAATAGAAAAACGGAAACATCTAAAAGTAAAAAAATTGAAAACCCAAAATTCAAAAAATCACAAATTCAAGAATCGAAAAATCGAACATTGGATCATCGAAAAGTCTAAAAACTGAAGAAAGGAAAAATCGGAAAAATCAAAATAGGAAAAAATCAAAAAAAAATTCGTCAAGTTGAAAAACTGAAAAATAAAAAAATTAAATATAGAAAATTCGATAAATCACATCCGAAAAATTCAAAATCGAAAAATCATAAATCAAAAAAACTAAAATTCTAAGATTCGATGAATCAAATATTCGAAAAATCGAAAAACCGAGAAATCGATAATCCTCCCTACAATATCGAAAGAACGAAATATCAAAATATCGAAAAATGAATAATTAAAAAACAAAAAATTCGATTAATTGAAAACTTGGAAAGTCAAAAATCGATAAAAACAAAATTGAAAAAAAGAAAAAAAGGAAGAATAGAAAAACTGAAAAATCTAAAAGTAAAAAACTTGAAAATTCAAATATCGAAAAGTTAAAAAATTAAGTCTAAAAACTGAAGAAAGGAAAAATTTGAAAAATCAAAAATAGGAAAAACCGAAAATTCGGAAAATCCATAAACTGGAAAATCGAAAATTCGATGAATCACATTTGAAGAATGGAAAATTGAAAATTCGAACAATCGAAAAATCGACATATCTAAAATCGAAAGATAAAAGTCGACACAGGCAGACACACAGACAGCCAGAGTGAAACGGGAGAACGGGGTCATAAAAAGTCGAGAAAACATGAAAATAGCTACACCTTAAACTCGAAAAGTAAAAAGCGTCAAGGTTTTGTCAAGTTCAATAGTTTTCCAATAACTCGTATTTTTTTTTACTTTTTCACAGTATTATTTTCGTGCCCAAAACGCTCCCACAAACCCCCCACCCCCATTATGCAATATCGTGTCGTGAATAAATTGAAACGAAATAATCAATACACCTCCATAAAATTAAAATCAATCCATTATTATTTTTAGAATAATTTGGGTCACCCCAATCGATACTCCCCGAGAAATTTCCAACATACCTGAGATACATATTCCGCTCGGTAAAATTGCAGGCAGTGAAATGAAAATTATGGTTATTGATGCTCATCAACTTCGGCAGCAACATACACTCCACATTCCTCTCCAAATCCTCGAAGTGATTCCCGTACATAAAAATCCCCTTCTTCGAGGCGTGCCCGTGCAGATCCAGATACAAAAACAACCCCGACTCGTTCGAGTTGATGTCGCCTTGCGTATTCTCGTTATTAATCTTAATCTCCTCCACAAAATCGCGGACGTCGTTCACACTCCTACACTTTCTGCAAGCGTTGCCTGAATAAAAAGATTTATCTACGTTAGACTTAGGCGACATATTCGAGAGCCCTGAGATCGCGTCGTCCAGTTTGATAGTAAACGTCTTACATTTCATGCACCAGACACTTCTGTTGCTGTTGTTCTCTTCCAGACTCATATTCGACACTTTCATGCTAATATTGTTATCACCCTGTATATTATCCGAGTGTTTCAAATCGTGCTCGGAGCTCGACTCCATCGTGTCTTCTTTCTCGTGCCCGTAGTGATAGTATCTGATGAGCGCTCTAGCTGCATAGACCGGCGGGTGCTGGGACAACAGAGGACTGAGATAGAGGCGGTTCAAGTTGATGCCTCTGGTATCCGTGCGATAATGACCCATAGCGACCCCGTCGGGGTTCAGAAAAGGGACCATCTTGAACACGTACAACCGCCTCAGCATTATGGCCACGGGGTCGTCTCGGGTGAGAAGGAGGGTCAAGAAGCCGTTGAAAACAAAAGTCGAGGGGGTTTCCCCTGGGTGCACCCGCGCAGACACAAAGATCACCTAAAAACAAAAAAACACAAAGTCGCTCGGGCACCAGTTTTCAATAAACAAACTTTTTCGTACTTACTTTCTTCCCTACGAACTTGAACGGCCTCGCCGTATTCTTGTCCGGAAAGAGATTCTTCAACCTAACCTCCGCTTCTGGAGTAATTCCATGATACGAAGAAATCGTCAATAAATTCACGTCTCTCCCTCCAAGCGATCGACACACCACTTCTTTGGTATAGTATATGTCATCCTCGTAGGTGGCAATATAATGCTCGAATCTTAGATCTATATTTGATAGCATCTTTTGTAAATCTGAGTAGGAAAATGGGTATGTAAAAGCAAAGTACGTTACACTATGAACATTTTCTGGTGTTTTAAATTTAAAACTAAGCGTAAATACATCGTCGACAGTCTGAAAAACGAAGGTGAGTATGTGGGGGTGAAAGTTGGGGGGGCTTACGTTGTGAATTGGTTTATCACGTATACGTTCCCATTGCGGTTTGCCCGGTACGACGCGGTAAACGGGGGCCATACCTTGGCTGTACATTTTTCCTTGACGGTTGAGGTCCACGATGTTTAGTCTCACTAGGAGAGATGGTGAGTGGGCTGCAATTAAAAAAGATTTGTTCTCGTGAAAGTCGCACAAACAGCCTGCGCGGAAGCTTGATGAGTTGTGTGTGTTTTCTAACCAATGGGAACGGTTGTGCGCAATTTGGGTGTGCTTGACGCTACTAAAGTCCGGGAGCGAATTCTTTACTTTAAAAGTCTAAATTGAAAAATTGAAACACTAAAGAATGGAGAAATTGAAAATGGAAAATTCGAAAAATCAGATGTCGAAAATCGAAAACAACTGAAAAGGTAAAAGTTTGAAAAATCTTCCAGAAAGTCGAAAAATCAAGAAATTGAAAAATCGAGAAATCGAAAACTCGATAAACCAAAAAATCGAAAAATACAAAAACTGAAATGCCTAAAAACTAAAAATTGAAAAATGGAAAAGCTGGACATTGAAAAAACAAAATTCGAGAAATCGAAAATTCGAGACATTGAAAATTAAAAAAATTGGAAAGTTAAACTGAAAAATCTTCCGGAAAGTCGAAAAATCAAAAAATTCGTGAAATGGAAAATTGGAAGCATCGCAACGTTAAAAATTGAAAAGTTTAAAAACTGAATATTGAAAAAACTTGAAAAATCGAAATTTGATGAATTAGATATTCGAAAAAACGAAAAAAGGAGAAATTAAAAAATCTAAAATTGAAAAATAGAAAAATTAATGAAAAAACAGAAAAGTCGAAAACTAAAAAAAATTAAAATTCGATATCGAAAGATCGATAAATCCAAAATTCAAAATACAGAAAATTCGAGAAATCGAAAAATTGAGATATCAAAAAGTAATAAACCGAAAAGTTTAAAAATTTAAGAAAGAAAGAATTGAAAAATTAAAAATTCTATAAATCAGATATTCGAAAAAACGAAAATTCGAAAATCAAAAATTTGATATCGAAAATCGTGAATTGCAAAATCTAAAATTCGAGACATCGAACAGTAAGAAAATTGAACAATTTAAAACCTGAAAAATCTTCCGGAAAGTCGAAAAATCAAAAAATTGAAAAATCGAAAGATCGAAAACTCGATAAGTCAAAAAACTGAAATGTAAAAAAATTGAAAAATCAAAACTTGGAAAATCGAAAAAATTGAAAAATAAAACATCGAAAACTTGAGAATTCAAAAAATCGAAAAGAAAAAAATTGAAAAATTGAAAAAATGAATGGATCGATGAATCAGATATTTGAAGAAACGAAAATTCAAAAAATCGAAAAATCGAAAAAGTGAAATATTCAAAATTCGAAAATTTAAAAGCTAGAGAAATGGAAGAATCGAAAATTCGAGACATCGAAAACTCAAAATCGAAAATCCAAAAACTGAAACCGGAAGATTGAAAAATCAAAAATCAAAAAATCGAAAAAAAAAGAAACATCTTCCGAAAAGTCGAATAGTAATAAAAAATTGAAAACTCGAGATCGAAAAGTAAAAAAGTTTAAAAATTGAAAAATCGAAAACTACAGAAATCGAAAAATCGAAACACCGAAAAGGTAACAGTTTGAAAATCTTCCGGAAAGTCGAAAAATCCAAAAATTGAAAAATCGAGAAATAGAAAACTCGATACACCAAAAAATCGAAAAGTAAAAAAACAAAATTCGAAGAAACGAAAATTCGAAAAACGAAATAACAAAAATCGAAAATTCGAGACATTGAAAATAAAAAAAGAGTTAACAAACTGAAACATCTTCCGGAAAGTCGAAAAATCAAAAAATTGAAAAATCGAAAATGGAAAAAAAGCGACAAAAAATAAAAAAAAATGGAAAAAATGAAAGATCGAAAAGTAAAAAAAATGAAAATTCGTGAAATCGAAAATTCGAAACGTAAAAAATTGAAAAGTTTAAAAACTGATAATTGAAAAAACTTGAAAAATCGAAATTTCGATGAATTAGATATTCGAAAAAACGAAAAAAGGAGAAATTAAAAAAATCCATCCAAAATTGAAAAATAGAAAAAATTAATGAAAAAACAGAAAAGTAAAAAAATTTGAAAATTCGATATCCGAAGATCAATAAATCCAAATTCGAAATACAGAAAATTCGGGAAATCGAAAAATTGAGACAACAAAAAGTAATAAACTGAAAAGTTTAAAAATTTAAGGAAGAAAAAATTAAAAATTCCATAAATCAGATATTCGAAAAAACGAAAATTCGAAAAACCGAAAAATCGAAAATTCCAGAAATGAACATTCGTGAATCGAAAAATCTAAAATTCGAGACACCGAAAAGTTAAAGAATTGAAAAATTTAAAAACTGAAAAATCTTTCGGAAAGTCGAAAAACAAAAAAATTGAAAAATCAAAAAATTGAAAAATCGAGAAATGGAAAACTCGATAAACCAAAAAACTGAAAAGTAAAAAAACTGAATTGCCTAAAAACTGAAAATTGAAGAATGGAAAAACTGGAATTAAAAAAATAAAAAAAAATTGAAAAATCTTTGAAAATGTCGAAAAATCAAAAAGTGAAAAACAGTAAGGCGTAAAGTTTAAGAACTGAAGAATGAAAAAATTGAAAAATCAAAATTCGAAGAAACGAAAATTCGAAAAACGAAAGGCAAAAATAGAATTCGAGAAATTGAAGATTCCAGACATTGAAAATAAAAAAAAATGAAAAATTCGAAACATCAAAAAACTGAAAAATGGAAAATCGGAAATTAGAAAAGTGTAAAAAACGACAAAAAAATTAAAAAATGGAAAACATGAAAGATCGAAAAGTAAAAAAAATGAAAACTCGTGAAATCGAAAATTCGAAACGTAAAAAATTGAAAAGTTAAAAAACTGAATATAGAAAACACTTGGAAAATCGAAAATTCGATGAATTAGATATTCCAAACAACGAAAAAAAATCCAAAATTGAAAAATAGAAAAAATTAATGAAAAAACAGAGATGTCGAAAAGTAAAAAACGATTGAAAATTCGATATCGAAGATAAGAAGATAAATCCAAAATTCGAAATACAGAAAATTCGAGAAATCGAAAAATTGAGATATCAAAAAGTAATAAACTGAAAAGTTTAAAAATTTAAGAAAAAATAAAAAAATTAAAAATTCCATAAATCAGATATTCGAAAAAACGAAAATTCTAAAAACCGAACAATCGAAAATTAAAAATTTTATATCGAAAAATCGAAAATTCCAGAAATGAAAATTCGGGGAAATCGTGAATCGAAAAATCTAAAATTCCAGACATCGAAAAGTAAAAAAATTGAAAAATCGAAAAACTAACGACGGAAACATTGAAATTGAAAAATCAAAACTTGGAAAATCGAAAAAATAAATGGAAAAATTGAAAAATAGAAAAGTAAAAAAGATAAAAAATCGAAAAATTCAAAATTCGAGACATCGAAAAATACAAAAGAATAATTGTTAAATTTAAGAACTGAAGAATGAAAAAATTGAAAAATCGAAAAATCCATGAATCAGATATTTGAACAAACGAAAATTTGAAAAACCAAAAATTGAAACATTGGAAGTCCAAAAATTGAAAAATCCAAGTACGAAAATTCGAGACATCCAAAAGTAAAAAAATTGAAAAGTTTAAAAATTGAAAAATCTTCCGGAAAGTCGAAAAATAAAAAAATTGAAAAATTGAGAGATTGAAAACTCGATAAGTCAAAAAATAGAAATGTAAAAAAATTGAAAAATCGAAAAACTCGCGATGGAAAAATTGAAATTGAAAAATCAAAACTTGGAAAATCGAAAAAATTGAAAAATAAAAAATCGAAAACTTGAGAATTCAAAAAATCGAAAAGAAAAAAATTGAAAAATCGAAAAAATTAATGGAAAAATTGAAAAATAGAAAAGTAAAAAAAAATTAAAATTCGATATCGAAAAATCGAAAAATTCAAAATTCGAAAAATTTAAAATTCGTGACATCGGTAAGAAAAAAAAACGAAACGTTTAAAAACTGAAGAATGAAAAAATTGAAAATCGAAAATTCGATGAATCAAATATTCGAAAAATTTAAAAATAGAGAAATCAAAAAGGAAAAACAATAAAAATTCGAATATGGAAAAATCGACACAGCGAAAAGTTAAAAGTTTGAAAAGTTTAAAAACTGAAAAATCTTCCACAAAGTAGAAAAATCAAAAAATTGTAAAAACGAGAAATCGAAAACTCGAAAAATCAAAAAATTGAAAAATCGGAAAGTAAAAAAAATTGAAAATTCGATATTCAAAAGATCGGTAATACCAAAATTCGAAACATAGAAAATTCTAGAAATCGAAAAATCGAGACATCAAAAAGTAAAAAACTAAAGAAAGAAATAAATTGAGAAATTATATTTCGATATCAAATTTTTCAATTTTTTTTTCTTTTTTTCGATACATCAGATATTCGAAAATACGAAAATTCGAAAAACCGAACAATCGAAAATCAAAAAGGCGGTAGTCGAAAAATTGATAAATCAAAAAGTAAAAATTGAAAATTTGATATCAAAAAAATGCAAAATTCCAAAAATGAAAATTTCGGAAATCGAGAATCGAAAAATTAAAAATTCGGACATCGCAAAATAAAAAAATTGAAAAGTTTAAAAACTGAAAAGTTTTTGGGAAAAAGTCAAAACATCAAAAATTTAGAAATCGAAAAGCAAAAGAGAATAATTGTCAAGTTTAAGATCTGACGAATGAAAAAATTGAAAAATCGAAAATTCGATGAATCGGATATTTGAAGAAACGAAAATTCAAAAAACCGAAAAAACGAAAAAGTGAAATATTCAAATTTAGAAAAATAGAAAATTCGAGAAATCGAAGAATCGAAAATTCAAGACATCGAAAACTCAAAATCGAAAATCCAAAAACTGAAACCGAAAGATTGAAAAATCAAAAATCAAAAAATTGAAAAAAAAAAAATCTTCCGAAAAGTGGAAAAGTAATAAAAAATTGAAAACTCGAAATCGAAAAATACAAAATTCTAAAGATAGAAAATCCAAGAAATCGAGATCGAAAAATCGGAAATTCCTGACATCGAAAAGTAAAAAAGTTTAAAAATTGAAAAATCAAAAACTACAGAAATCGAAAAATGGAAACACTGAAAAGGTAAAGTTTGAAAATCTTCCAGAAAGTCGAAAAATCAAAAAACTGAAAAATCGAGAAATCGAAAACTCGATAAACCAAAAAATCGAAAAGGAAAAAAACTGAAATGCCTAGAAACCTAAAATTGAAGAAAGGAAATTGAAAAAACCAAAATTGTAAAAATGAAAAAAATTGAAAAATCTTTGAAAATGCCGAAAAATCAAAAACTGAAAAACAGTAAGGCGTAAAGTTTAAGAAACTGTAGAATGAAAAAATTGAAAAATCAAAATTCGAAGAAACGAAGATTCGAAAAACCGAACAATCAAAAATAAAAAATTTGATATCGAAAAATCCAAAATTCCAAAAATTAAAATTCGGGAAAATCGTGAATCAAAAAATATAAAATTGGAAACGCCGAAAAGTAAAAACATTGATAAATTTAAAAACTGAAAAATCTTCTGGAAAATCGAAAAATCAATAAATTGAGAGGTCGAAAAGCAAAAAAAAAAATTGAAAACTTGATATCGAAATATTTAAAATTCGAGACATCGAAAAATACAAAAGAATAATTGTTAAATTTAAGAACTGAAGAATGAAAAAATTGAAAAATCGAACATTCGATGAATCAGATATTTGAAGAAACAAAAATTCAAAAAACCGAAAAATGAATTATTCAAAATTCGAAAAATCGAAAATTCGATGAATCAGATATTTGAAGAAACAAAAATTCAAAAAACCGAAAAATGAATTATTCAAAATTCGAAAAATAGAAAATTCGAGAAATCGAAGAATCGAAAATTCGAGACATCGAAAAGTAAAAAAAATTGAAAAGTTTAAAAACTGAAAAATCTTCCAGAAAATCGAAACATCAAAAAATGAAAAATCGGGAGATCTAAAACTCGATAAGTCAAAAAATTGAAATTAAAAAAAAATTGAAAATCGAAAACTTGAGAATTGAAAAAATCGAAAAGAGAAAAATTGAAAAATCCAAAATTCGAGAAATCGAATCGATAAGAAAAAACAATGAAAATTCGAATACGAAATAATCGAGACAAGTTAAAAGTTTGAAAAATTTAAAAAGTTTAAAAACTGAAAAATCTTCCCGAAAGTAGAAAAATAAAGAAAATGAAAATTAAAAAAGATGAATGGAAAAAAAAATAAAAAATTTGAAAATTGGATATCAAAAGATCGATAATTCCAAAATTCGAAAAATAGAAAATTCGAGTAACCGAGAAATCGAGACATTAAAAAGTAAAACCTAAAGAAAAAAAATTGAAAAATTGTATTTTTCGAAATCAAATTTTTCAATTTTTTCTTTCTTTCTTTCTTTCGATAAGTCAGATATTCGAAAAAACGAAAATTCCAAAATCAAAAAAGCGATAGTCGAAAAATTGAAAACTTGATATAGAAAAATACGCAATTATAAAAGGAAAATTCGGGAATTCGAGAATCGAAAAATTAAAAATTTGGACACCCAAAAGTAAAACAATTGGAAAGTTTAAAATCTGAAACGTTTTTGGGAAAAAGTCGAAAAATCAAAAAATTTAGAAATCGAAAAGCAAAAAAATTGAAAATTTGATATCAAAAAATCCAAAATTCAAGACATCGAAGAGAAAAATTGAAATATCGAAAAAATAAATGGAAAAACTGGAAGATCGAAAAGTAAAAAAAATGAAAATTCGATATCGAAAAATCCAAAAATCCAAAATTTGAAAAAATTAAAATTCAAGACATCGAAAAGAAAAAAACTGAGAAGTTCAAAACCTGAAGAATGCAAAAATTAAAAAGTCGTTAATTCGATAAATCATATATTCGAAAAAACAGACATCGAAAAGTAATTCGAGACTTTGAAAAGTACAAAAATTGAAAAGTTCACAAACTGAAAAATCTTCCAGAAAGTCGAAACATAAAAAAATCGAAAAACTGAAGATGCAGAAATTGAAAAACCGAAAAGTAAAAACATTGATAAATTTAAAAACTGAAAAATCTTCTGGAAAATCGAAAAATCAATAAATTGAGAGGTCGAAAAGCAAAAAAAAAAATTGAAAACTTGATATCGAAATATTTAAAATTCGAGACATCGAAAAATACAAAAGAATAATTGTTAAATTTAAGAACTGAAGAATGAAAAAATTGAAAAATCGAAAATTCGATGAATCAGATATTTGAAGAAACAAAAATTCAAAAAACCGAAAAATGAATTATTCAAAATTCGAAAAATCGAAAATTCGATGAATCAGATATTTGAAGAAACAAAAATTCAAAAAACCGAAAAATGAATTATTCAAAATTCGAAAAATAGAAAATTCGAGAAATCGAAGAATCGAAAATTCGAGACATCGAAAAGTAAAAAAAATTGAAAAGTTTAAAAACGAATCTTCCAGAAAATCGAAACATCAAAAAATGAAAAATCGGGAGATCTAAAACTCGATGAGTCAAAAAATTGAAATTAAAAAAAAATTGAAAATCGAAAACTTGAGAATTGAAAAAATCGAAAAGAGAAAAATTGAAAAATGGAAAAATTGAAAAATCCAAAATTCGAGAAATCGAATCGATAAGAAAAAACAATGAAAATTCGAATATGAAATAATCGAGACAAGTTAAAAGTTTGAAAAATTTAAAAAGTTTAAAAACTGAAAAATCTTCCCGAAAGTAGAAAAATAAAGAAAATGAAAATTAAAAAAGATGAATGAAAAAAATTGAAAAATCGGAAAATAAAAAATTTGAAAATTGGATATCAAAATATCGATAATTCCAAAATTCGAAAAATAGAAAATTCGAGTAACAGAGAAATCGAGACATTAAAAAGTAAAACCTAAAGAAAAAAAAATTGAAAAATTGTATTTTTCGAAATCAAATTTTTCAATTTTTTCTTTCTTTCTTTCTTTCGATAAATCAGATATTCGAAAAAACGAAAATTCGAAAATCAAAAAAGCGATAGTCGAAAAATTGAAAACTTGATATAGAAAAATACGCAATTATAAAAGGAAAATTCGGGAATTCGAGAATCGAAAAATTAAAAATTTGGACACCCAAAAGTAAAACAATTGGAAAGTTTAAAATCTGAAACGTTTTTGGGAAAAAGTCGAAAAATCAAAAAATTTAGAAATCAAAAAGCAAAAAAATTTAAAATTTGATATCAAAAAATTCAAAATTCAAGACGTCGAAGAGAAAAATTGAAATATCGAAAAAATGAATGAAAAAACTGGAAGATCGAAAAGTAAAAAAAATGAAAATTCGATATCGAAAAATCCAAAAATCCAAAATTTGAAAAAATTAAAATTCGAGACATCGGAAAGAAAAAAATTGAAAAGTTCAAAACCTGAAGAATGCAAAAATTAAAAAGTCGATAATTCGATAAATCAGATATTCGAAAAAACAGACATCGAAAAGTAAAAAAAAATTGAAAAATTTAAAAACTGAAAAATCTTCGGGAAAATCGAAAAATCAATAAGGAGAGAGAAAAATTGAAGATGCAGAAATTGAAAAATCGAAAAGTAAAACAATTGAAAAATCTAAAGGCTGACGAATGGAAACATTGAAAATCGAAAAATTGAAATATCAAAAAAATTGAGAAACCTTCCGGAAGTCGAAAAATAAAAAAATTGAAAAATCAAAAATCGAAAACTAGAAATATAAAAAAAGAGAAAAAAATTGAAAAATGGAAATAATGAATGGAAAAATTGAAACATCGAAAAGTGAAAACAATGAAAATTCGAGAAATCGAAAATTCGATGAATCGAAGAAAGGAAAAATTGAAAAATCAGAAATGGAAAAATAGAAAATTGTAAAAATCAAAAATTGGAAAAATTGAAAAGTAAAAAAAATGGAAATTCGATATCGAAAGATCGATCAACTCAAAATTCAAAAGATAGAAAGTTCGAGACATCGAAAAGTAAAAAAATTGAAAAGTTCAAAAACCGAAAAATCTTCCGCAAAATCAAAAAATCAAAAAACGGAAAAATTTGGAGAAATTGAAAAATCGGAAGAGGCAAAATAAAAAAATTGTCAAAAAATCGGAAAGGAAAAAATTCTAAAGTTTAAGAACTGATTAATGAAAAAATTGAAAAATCGAAAATTCGATGAATCGAATGTTCCAAAAATCGAAAAATCCTTCCTATAATCTTATTATAATTTTTACAATTTTGATTTTTTCCTCAAAAATTTGCACGTCAAGTGTAAAAAGTCAACACGGTCTCATAAACCACAAATAGAGTACGTTATATAAAACTTAAACAACATTTATTATTGTAAATTTTGGATGTGACGTTAAACATTGTTGGTGGGTTCAAACACAGAATTAATTAAAAAAAGTTCGCTTTTTTGTGGCATTTTTACAGAAATTTGATCAAACACACATATAATAATGAAACATTTTACTATGTAGAATTTTCCAGTAGAAAACCTAACCTCACTTACGCGCTACTTTCTAACAGGGCAGAATCACACCGAAAAAAAATAATATGGTTGTGTGATACAAACTGATACAATCTTATCATCACCAATCAATACAAATTTTCGTACCTTTCACTCCAAAATAAAACCAAGTCCTGTTCCCATTTTCGAACTCGGTCCCGCAGCAGTCAGGCCTCGTCCACAGGTTAAACTCAGCGTCCGGTATTTCGGGGGGCGCCTTTGCCGAGTTATTGGGAACGCTGATAACCGATTCATTCGTAGGTACGAACGCCACTTTGGCAAGATTGGCTGAGTCGAAATCATTGTAGAACGTGAATCCAGAACACTCGATTCCTGCCATTACTTTACTTGAATCTCAAGCAGCTAAGGTTTCCCATGATACACTATTCCAGAATTTGTACGAAAGACAACTGGGGCCTGAAACTGCGTTTTGTTGAGGCGTCTACTCGTCTTTTCAGACAGCATGTAAATAAAACCGTGACATTTGGATCAGCTGTTTTTTCACAGCAAGGTAAAAGTTATGGGTGTAGGAGATGGGTGTTGCACAATATTTGGGTCAAGCCACTTACCAATTTAGAAAAATATATTTAGTACAAGGATTATAAAGAAGCACGGAATATTTTTGATGGCATTTTATAGAGTGACAATTGTTTGTTGTGCTTCTATGACACAGTTGTGACAGATGAAGAGTGACAGTTAATGACAACAATTAGTTACTAGTTTTGACACTTGTTGTTATTTACCAGGGGGGGGGACGAGTTTGGGACAAATTGGGGCGAACGGGGACGTTAATTTCACAAATTTAGCTAAATTGGCCACACAGTACCTACAACACGCAAAACTAAAATGCCACTGAGTTTGTCTGGTTCGCTTTGCGGGGTAGGGCAATGTCGATAATTCCCAAGGCTGAAAACCCATCGATTGGGTGGTAATTTGAAAACGCGGCTGAAAATTAATTAAAATCATGAGACAAGCCCATTATTAACTGAATTAGATTTCCACACTTTGTTTCTAAAAAAAAAATTGGTTGTTCTACTGACTGTATCTAAAGCTAAATTGAAGGTCTAAATACCCCCTGAATACATTATTAGCGAGCTGACACAATAATAATGAACGAAAGTTTGTTTACATAACGTATTTGTTTGTTTTGGGAGTTGTCCCAAGGTAAAAATTTTCAAAATTGCTTGTCGGTGTATTGTTGGTTGCCTACACTGCCGACGCTAATATTGTTTTCGTAGGGGAATGTGGATCAAAACGAAACTCTACACAGATGTAGGGGTTTATGGCACAAATAAATTTATTAATAACTATCCAAAGTGGGTGCTGTCGTGTGGTTTGACGTTACACTGAACCAAAATAACGGCGTAAGTTGTCAACGCTGCCACCATCTAAAAATTAACCGAGTTATTAACCCGAATTTAAAATTGGTGCCTATTTACAGTGCCCACAAATGTAAAATCCAGCACGAAGAAACTTTTTACGGTAAATTGGAGCTTGGAACTAAGTAACTGAGCCGAAACCAACTGAAGATGGCGAGTTATTTTCGTAACGTTGTGCGTCGAACTGTATTTATTCCAAAGATCGTGGACGAAAGTGGCCGTTTTAGCAGCCTAGAACCAAATTTTACAAAATTATAAATTTCAAACCATTTTTACCTCTTTTTGAGTTTTGTTTGACATCCAAACCATCAAAAACAACCAAAAAAAGTAATATAATAACGAAATCGTAGTGAAAATTGTAAATCCAATCAAGTTAATTCCAATGTTGTTTAAGGTTACATACGGAACGTAATAAATTCCGTTGAGAACAATTCCAAACCACGGCACTATTCCCACTAGTGTGGTAATTTCAAAGCACTTATTGATTTTTTTTGATAAGGTAACTACTTCATAGTGTGTGTGACACAAGTGTTTAATTTGATAAATTGAATATAATTTTCGCTGGAAGTGTCTATTGATTTCTTCAAATTTTCCATAGGTGGTGGTCATGAGGTCGTGGAAGTAAAGGTGGTCTAACGAGGTTATGGCCACTGGAATGAACATGTGTAACATACACACTGTAGGCATACCTTCTACAAGACCACACAAAGCAATATTTATTGCAACTAAAGTCACAAAAAACGGTCTAATCCAGGAGTGCGTTTTTCTCTGACTTGTTGGTAGATTAAGTGAACTAATTTTGACTAATGTGTGTTTTAACTTGTTACTTCTTTTATTAAAAGAGATCACACATGTCACCATTAGTACCCAACTAGAGTAAGCTATAAACAAGTCAAAATATTTGAAAAGCCCGGTAAATTGGATAGTCTGGAAAAGAATAGCACTTTTGTAACTTATGTACAAGTAGGCGACGTAACACGGGATGCTCCACAAACGTGATAAGCAATTTTCGACTCTTGTTGAAGACGTGGAGGTTGAAAATTGAACACTTCCTGTTAGCTTGTACAAAACAAGTAACAATTTCGGTGTTGACTCTAATAAGTACATTGCGAATGTGTGTAATGAACATATCGATCTTACAAAAAAATAGTTTTGTTGTTAATGATGTAATGGATTAAAAGTGTGCTTTTATATTCCCAATATTGGGATTAAACACATTTTTTTGACATTCTGTGTTTGTGTTAACAAATAACTCTCATTAAATTTTTTTGTTTTATTTCTCTAATATAAAAAACTGGATGAGTATAACTGCATATGTAGCAACCGCAACAACCACCTAAAAATGACAAACTTAACTATTATTTTTAGCAAGTAACAGAAAATTACCAGCTGACAAAACTTCCAGTCTAAATTGAAAAACCCGCACACGTTGAAGCGAATTTGTGTATTAAACATCCGAATCGAAACTAGTTCCAGTTGGCGGAATTTTTCTCCCATTGCTTTCCTGCACACACTTTTGTTCCAGATTTCGTGTAAACGTAACGCTGCAGCGTTGGCTGTGTCTTGAGTTTCGCTAAATTTTGCCACAAGTGTGTAGAACCAACAAACGGAAAAAGCTGCTTGACCAGAGTTGGCTACAAATCTTACACTCATCACTGATTCGGAGCTAGCTGTCATCGTTATTAAAGTGTAAATGGCGTCAACTGTAGCTATGAAACAATACGCTATTTGTAGTGAAATTGTGACTTCGAACTGTTTTGTTGTCTGTAGTGCCAAAATGACCAAGTCGTAGTGTGTGTGCGATAAATTTTGAACAGACTCAATTATTAAGTTAACTTTGTTACTTCTTCTAGACTGAGTGTTGGAAGTCAAATTTCGAAACGTTTCATTAATAGCGGTAAATTTTTCACTGAGACAGTCTAGAATGTCAGTAAGGAAAAAGTTGTCAAACGTGATGAGGGTGCAGCAAGAAGTGAAAATGATATAAGTAGTTTTTCCTCTCAGCGAGTAACCAACTACAACGGGTATCAAACAAGAAATGAGTAAAACTCGACTCAAAATTGTTGTTGTTGATTTTTTGACTGGTGTATAATTTAAATCGTCAATGCGAATCAAGAGAATTTTTATTTTGTCGTCGTATCTTGCACTATGAAAGAAAATACAAATGCAGATGAAATAACCGTATGAAAAAACACACCACAAACGGGCACCCATTTTCGAAAATTTCGTTGTCGGTGGTGCTTTGGAATAAGAGAATTGCACAATCCCTAGAACTTTGTAAACGTATTTGAAAATTGTGGAAGCTGAACCGAGCACTTGGGTCCCCATTTTATAATTGATTTGAGCACCATTTCGTGGCTCAACAATTTGCTTTATTAGTTGGATCGATTTATTCAATAAATAATAATTAATTAAGTCAAAAGAGGAAATTTCCTCTCTTTGTTAATTAATATTTTTGGGCATAATTTTGTACTTGGATTGGAAGAGTAAGTATTTAGACCTGAAACTGCACCAGAATAAGCCAGTAGGTAGTAAAAGCTACGACCATCGTTTGGAAGAAGGTCCAGTCCAAAATAAAAAACCCACGTATGTTGAATTGTATCCGTGCGTTAGACATACGTACTGAAAGTAGTTCCAAATGACGAAACTCTCTATTCATTTCTTTTGTAGAAACGTGTTGGTTCCAAATTTCGTGCAAGTGTAACACTCCGCTGTTGGCTAGTTCTTGCGTTTCGCAAATTTTTGCAATAAGTACATATAATCGAAGTAAGGCGAACACAAGGTAGATGAAATTGGTAGCAAAACGTGAAGTAAGGTGTTGGGAATAAGCTGCCAGAACAGTAACCGTGTATGACCCATCGATCATACATATAAAGGAATGAATCATTGATACTATAATAGGTACTCCGAATTGTTTCGTGATTTCTAGAGTCAAAAATATTAACTCCGAGTGGAAGTGCGATAAGTTCTGAAGCGAATTCGTGTCACGAAATGTTGTCTTCTTGTAAAATCGAAGTACCGATTTATCACGTTTGGTGTGTAATTGTAGCTCTTCATTCACAGCGGCGAATTTATCACCAATGTGGTCGAAAATATCATTTATGAAAACTGTGTCGAAAGCGATAATTATGCAACAGTAGTACCAGAAAATGAAATAGTAAGTATTGCCTTCTTGGAATGAAGACGCTATAATCAGCGCAAATAGAACACCAACGAGGGTACTTCGTATGATTATTCTTTTCTTCCGCGGTACTGACGAGCTCAAAGGTACCACCATGTCGCCAATACAAATCAACAACGTTTTTATTTTGTTGCTTCTTTTATAAAACGTTATAAATAACAAAATCATCAGAACAACGGTTCCATGATACAGAAAAACTTGAACGTACGTCATTATTTTCCCATCGTGTCTTGAATTATTGAAGAAAATACACAGGTGAATGAAAGTACTATAACTTAAAACGGACCACAGTCGAGGTACTATTTTTGCGAATTTTGTTCGCGGTGGGGTTTTGTCGTAGGAGAATTGGACAATTCCTAAAACGTTATATATGAATTTGACTACCCGGGAAGTCGACTCGAGGAGCTGAGGTGACATTTTGAATAAATTATCTACTAATAACGCTATATTGATCAAGCTTTCAGTAATTGGTTGTACTAGGAAATCATCATGTTGTTTGTGTTAGATAAATCGATTTATTTTAATGCTGAGTATATTAAATGGACTAAATTTGAAACTGCACGAGGATAAGCCAGTAGGTGGTAAAAGCAACAACCATCTGAAAAACACAAAAAACATTTTTTTTCTCCATTGAAACCTTATATTCACCGATTGGAAGAAGGTCCAGTCCAAAGTAAAAAATCCACGTATGTTAAATTCCATCTGTGTGTTTAGCGTCCGTATGGAAAGTAGTTCCAAATGACGAAACTCTCTATTTATTTCTTTTTTAGAAACGTGTTTGTTCCAAATTTCGTGTAGGTGTAGAACTCCAGTGTTGGCTAGTTCTTGCGTCTGGCTAATTTTTGCAATGAGTACACATAGATGATACAAAGAGAACACAAGGTAGCTGAAATTGGCTCCAAAACGTAACGTAAGGTGTCGAGAATGAGCTACTAGAACTGTAATTGTGTATATGGCGTCAACCATACAAATAAAACTATGAATCATTGATGCTATAGTTGTTATTTCAAACTGTTTTTTGATTTCTAGTGTCAAACGTACTAAGTCATAGTGGAAATGTGAAAAGCTCTGAAGCACATGTATGTATGATTTATCTCGTTTAGTGATAATTTCCAGTTTTTCATTCGCAGCAGAGAATTTGTCACCAATGCAGTCGAAAATGTCGTTGAAAAAAATGGTGTCAAATGTGATAACAACGCAACAGTAGTACCAGAAAATGTGATAGAAATCACGCTCTTCTTGAAATGAACTACAAATTAT